TGAACACCTCGTACCATCACTATTTGATGGTGATTCATGGAAGCATACTAATTATAATGTCGGAATTGCACATTTGACTCTGATTTTGGCAGAGATTTTGAGAAAATGGATCAGCTTTTGTCGGTTTTCATTACCTAGTGTTTTACTCATATCTTCATGACTGGCTTTTTATGTTAAGCCCTCTTTAAAGAAGTATTTGTTCCATGCATGGTCCTTAAGTCTGTCCATTTTCCAAAGATCACAGACCCCTCCAACCAAATTGTACGGACTTCTCACATCGAAACAATTTGCTCAGGTGACTCAAGTTTCCGATATACCTCTATGACATTGTGTAATGTAACGAAATACAAACAGACAGACTGGCGGACAGACAGACCAGGTGATGACTTATCCCCGTGCATTATATGCTGTGACTTGACATTCACGAAATCATGAAAGCATGAAGAATGACTATTCTTGAAAGTGAGCTTTTTGTCTACACTCAGAAATGATATGCTCTGGCTTGCGACAATATCTATATATCTACAAGTAGGCTCTGACGAAAATCAAGAAGTATTTGTTTAACCAACTGGAGTCGAGCTTGAATTTTTGTCAACAAACTCGTGGACCAGACTTGATGGAATAAGATCTAGAGGGGGATGAACTATCCTTTCCTGATTTGTAACCCTGAGAACTCCTGCCTGTAAACCCTGACTGCGTAAAACTAACCCTGTGAGTTAGCAAATAATCGTCAGCCAAAGTAGCAGCCTTGTGTAATCCATTCACTTTCTGTTCATCAAGATATGTCCGAATGTCCGTTGGCACACACTGCTTAAGATATTCCAACATAACCAACTGCCTCAAACTATTACAATCACCATAGAACTCCTTTGAAGTGCACCACCTATCAAACAAAGTTTCCTTCTCCCTTACAAAGTCAACAAAAGAAGAACCATCCATTTTCGTAGCAGACTTTGGCCTGTAAGCTCCAGAAACCAATTCTTAAGCCTTCAAATCTTCAGCCTTCACAACCTGATAATCAGAACTCCTATCAATAGGTAGTGCACAATAAAATTCCTGAGCTTTTCTCCTAAACACACTTTGCAACAACATGGTACATTGATCTTCCGGCCATTTTATGCTGTTGACCACTTTTTCAAAAACACCACGTTCAGAGAAGGGCGGAATAAGTCTAATCTGCTTGGAAAGATCAAACGAACCACCATCTGTTGAGGCAATTTCTTCCTCAACCAGGTAAGTTATCAAAATCTCTTGACATCGGGTTTCACAAATTCCTGATTTGATGTCAAGTTTGTAATGTTTGGCCAATTCCTTCAAGATTTTTGTGCATAGAGATTTGTTCCGTAGATGGTTGCGTAACAAATTCCTATACACTAAACACCATAGTGATAGTTGGCTGAGTGTAAAAAATAATTTCAATAATTTTGACAAATAATTTGTGATATATTCAATTTCAATCCCGGACGAGCCCCAAACGTATGTTACGTGTCGTGTACCCAGAAGTCTGTGCGTAAAAGTTTGAAACCAACAAACAACCCACAAATAGTATACAATGAACCAATATTTTACAAAATTTCACAAGATTCACAAATCAATACAAATTACTGCACTGGAATTACAATGGCAGTTCAATATTCATTGGCAATATATAATATAATGGCAGTGGTCAGTATCAAATACAAAAATACAGTGGTGATAGCAAAAGTTGGTGATAATAATATATATTCACCCAGCGCCGACAGTAGTCAAGCTTCCGAGATGGTCAAAGTGGGGAATCAGGGATGATGAGTGAGCCTCACATGAAAGCTAGTCTTGGTGTGATGAAATGCGTGCGTGAGATGCGAGAGGCATGCTCTCTGTCTTCTTATATAAGCCTACCTGGCTACTGAAAACTTCTACACAGTGCCCAACAAAGAAAATTCCACGTGTTTCTAAAACACACCATGAAGTTTACACACCACACTAGAACCTAAACAGACTACATACACTAAATAGCATGAACTACATTCCCTGACAAGAAATCAATGTCCAAATACAACGCAATGAGCGTCTTCCGAATCTCAGCAGAAACAATGTAACACAGCCACAATCTTTGTTCAGAACGAAACACACTGCCATATAACAGAATAACAACCGGCTAGTCCCTATAAGCATCACTCCATTAACTTTTTACATTAACAGAGAACTTGGTATATGTGGCGTATCAATTAATGCCACCTATAATGCTATGTTCACTAAGAGTGTGTAAGCTGAGGAAGAAATCTGCCAAACCAACGCAGAAGTTGTCTGCCCCCATTCTTATCGGCTCTAGAATCTTTAGATAAACGCTCACACCCACAGTTTAATCACCCACAGTTGTGAAGACTATATATCCCATGTCAACTGACTGCACAACTTTTAAATGTATTGGTCTATTTCTCTCAAAAGTTTCAAAATTGGTCGCTCTGATAACGTTCAATATACAAATTATCCAGATGTTCCCAGGTAACAATATGATAGGTTTTTCCGTTGCATGGACTAAACCTCCGAGAAAACGCCATATGGAAATGATGAATATTGACTGTCATCAAAGCTGATGATGTTGTCTACCATCCATCACGTGTACTAAATGTTATCATTACAACTAATTTGCTTGATAATGGCACTCAATACTCATGAGAAATTGTCCAAACTTTCTGGCACCTTGATACATTCGTAATTGTTTCAACTGACATTTTAACATCATATGTCAAGAGGAATGGACCTTTAAAAGTATCAATAATTTTTTTATTATTTCATATTATCAATTTATCTTTTCTCTAACTGGTGTACCACTTGTTTGTCTCTAAACAGAGACAAATAGATTAATGTGCCTTTTATGGCCAGTGGATTTTGTTTGGCGGATAATCAAGACGTTATATTTATATGATACGTCAACATATCAGACAATTTCAAACAATCATACAATTTCATTACAAAAGTCAAGAGGTGTTATCAAGGGACCCAATCCTTTACACGGATTGGCAAGAGATACCCTTTGGATATTTTACATGCAGCTTATAAAAACAATAAGAAAACAAACAGAACTATAAACAAATGTTTCTTTGGTGATATAGAAGCTACCCCTTAGTTATGTCTTTCCTTTGTCGGGGCGGTCGGGTAGCCTAGTGGTTAAAGCGTTCGCTCGTCACGCCGAAGACCCGGGTTCGATTCCCGACATGGGTACATTGTGTGAAACCCATTTCTGGTGTCCCCCGCCGTGATATTGCTGGAATATTGCTAAAAGCGGCGTAAAACCATACTCACTCACTCACTTTCCTTTGTCTTGAATAATTATGACACCCATTTCAGGGTCACTCATTCATCCGTTATGGAAGTGAAGTATTCAATACGTTCATCCTGTGAAGTGTGGTCACGATGAAGCAAGGGATTTGGTTTAGGGTTATGGTTAGCGTCAGGATTAGTGGTTCAGGGTTGGGGTTAGGGTAAGCATGAAAGGAAAGCCTAAAGTGTACAAAACACACCGGCATGAATATGGTTCTGAAACGGGATCGTAAATAGAACGAATATTAGATTCGAACCGATGATAATCGACACATTGAGCCCCAATGTATTTTGAATCACTATGTGTAATTAGACATTATCACCTCCATTCCTCTGAAGTGTCCTGATGTGATCCACCTAAAGTAACACTGGCCCATTCCGAGGTGTGCCAATAATGGACTAGTCATATTGTTTTCTCTTTCAACTGAACAATGGACATTTGACATTGAGTTGAGCACCTGTCACATACGTACCATGTGTCTCCATTATGAATTTGGCGTAATTTGATATATGTATTTGTTTAATTATTTTATATTTCATGTTGTGAAACATCAAAACTTATGTCTTTTTACTAAAAAAATCAGATGCTATATACCTTTCAGCGTAAACATTGGAGAAAAGACTCTCAGACAAGAGTTTATATTATCACTAGAAACTATTGGAAGTAAGACCTTTAGGGAGCATCCATTTCTGTTTTATGAAGGGAGGAGATTGTTTACGTAAATAATTTGTTTAAAAATATACCCAAAATAAATAGTTCGTTGGCAGAGGTGAGAAAACTGAATAGTTTGTATTGTGGAAAATACCCAAACGTCAAAATGTTTTCTGCTGATGGGGAATGTGAATCAATTGGTCGATGGTGCTCAGAAAATAAACAGTTTGTAGGACAATCCTCCCATCTTCCACAAATCAAATGGATGCTCCCTTCAATATGAAATTTAACATGTCACATACCCATACCCATACCCATGGCTAGATATATATAAGCCAGGAATGGCAATATAGGGACGTTCTTCCGCGTACTTTAGAGGAAGTACAAGTAGGAATACCTACCCCGAACAAGACACTCGTGTGATCCTTTTCAATCTCGTATAATAAGTGGTGGCGGTTGTGACAGTCAGCAACGTGTACAAATGTAGGTGAGAGCAATGGAAGCTGTTCTTCATGCTTGCAACTCAACGACTACTTATCGAAAGAGAAAATATCATTTTAAAACGATAGTTCAGGACATATTATGAATGAATGAGCGATTGCGTTGGGTTTAACGCCTCTTTGAACAGTATTCTAGTTATGTCACGGCGTGATGTGATGCAGGTCTTAGACGTTTACCACTTTGGTGAAACCGACGAACACAGGTATGGTGCTGACAAACCTGGAAACATTATCGGGGCGAACCGGGACATATATGATACTAGTATTTCTTAGAAATAATTGTTAGTTTAATTTTCAGCTTAATATATTTCTGGCAGAAACATATTTGCAGTCTATATGTTAGCGTGTATATATTGGAACGAATCTTGTAAGAGATATGTACAGTTTTTACTTTGAAAGACTTTGACTGTTAATGTATTGTTTCATCTTCGTGTTATTTGCATATACATATATATCTGAAACTGTGCCGATGCTTGTTTTATTTTAAGTCACTCACACACTCACCAACCCTAATCGCATTATCCTTCCTACCTCTGTTGTTACAGAATTCCAGACTACGACGAGTTAACCCATCCTTGGCTTACATCTTCATCATCTGTGATTTGACGTTCGAGGGCATGTTCTTCTAAAATCGATGTTCTTCAAATACCGTTCCCGACTGGTTACACATTGTAACATCGCCAATGTTCCTAAGAGGTTCTTGTTGTGAAAATGTATGCATGGATAAGGATTAATGTCACTTAATTAGTGATCATTATGTCAATTATATGACGGCGTGTCAGCTTAATGAGGAAGGACAGCTTGAGGTAACGCAAGCCGTAGACGTTTTCCATTTTGGTGAAACCAACGAGGACGGATATGGTGCTGAGAAACCAAGGTTCAAGGAAAAACTTGGATTCGAACACCAATCAGAGAACAAAAAATGTTAGACCATTTCGCTAACACCTGGTGTCTTTTCGTTATTTAATAGCTTCTATGTGTCCAGTTTACAGATTCTATGTGACAGATATCAGTTCCAACTTAATAGATGGTACATGTAGGCAGTCATTTTCATTATCCGTGTGATATGGATGTGTAAATTTAGGATTGGTACTAAATTATTTCAAGTTAATAATAACATTTCCCTTTACTAACTGAGTTTGCATTATGTTTTATTCAACGAGTTACTGTAAATATTGTTTGGTTATAAAAATTCAGAAAAATACGTGCAAACCGTATCAAAGCAGCCGTTTATTGTGGAATAAGCAATGAGTAACCAATTATTATTCGGTACTTTCAATTACCATTTGAAGCGCTTCGTGTGACACTTTTGTCAGAAGAGCAGCATATATACACACCAATGAAAAATGTCGCCCGCATGAGTACGTATAGAGTGAGTGATCATAGTTAAATGTAGATGTATTGAAACAATGAAAACTATATGTTATATGCCAGTCTACAATGGACAAAACCAGTCTAAATCCTGATACTTCAGGGTATTTGTCGTTCTGGCGTGTTACATAAAATCAAACAATCAAATAGTGCACCCAAAACCAATTCGCTTCATGATTAATAAAGAAATAGTTGACGTTGATATTTGACGAGAGAATTATTTTATTCTGGAAGAACATCCGATTGATCTAGCATACTCCTGTTGCTAACAAAGTCGTTCTAAAGATGTGTGTGTGTAAATGAATTGAAATTATTTCTTCCTATATTTGGACATAACGTGTTGTATAGATTCAAATTATACAATAAATAACTTTCTAATCGAAGATTTGTCTCGAAAATGAAACCTCACTTGGGTAAAAAGGCATAAAAGTCAACGACAGGCGTTACTGTGAGCTTTCCTAAAGCTCCTTCAACGTTGACACGTGATGTAACGTAAATATTCAATTTGTTAAAAAGATGTTCTGTGATCATTCTCTGGATATAATTATTATATATAGTTGATGCTTTTGCTTATACACCGCGAGGGGGCGGTCGGGTAGCCTAGTGGTTAAAGCGTTCGCTCGTCACGCCGAAGACCCGGGTTCGAATCCCGACATGGTTACAATGTGCCGTGATATTGCTGGAATATTGCTAAAAGCTGTGTAAAACCATACTCACTCAGTATAGACCGTGAGATTTACTGAACTGGGTCGGTCTCCATGGTTATTATTAAAATCACAAGCGAACACAATCTGCAACAATGAAATAATTTGAATCAGGTTCATGACTTTTTAACTATTTAGAAATCTTAACCTTTTACGATTTTAACTTCCATACTATTTCATACGAAAATAGATGTGGTTGCATGTTCAATTTCGTAACTTACGGCGGGAGAATGGAGAGGCATAGTATTTGATGTCTGAATTGAGTTTACTATTTTCTACTATTGGAAATCAAAATTAAGCTTTCTGCACTATTTGAGAGGTAATTAATACTTTGGATATCAAAAGAGAGTTATTCAGTGTCAGTGTGATGTCGTGATTGGTATTTAATACCTGTTGATAACTTGAAAGGTATACTGAATATTGAATGTGGTTCTTTTATGAGTATTCAGTACTATTTGATATATAAATGGATTTACTGCATATTCGCATATATATGTATATGAACAACCTTTCTATTTTCAATCCAAATCGCGTTTACTGCATACTAGTATTTTATGGCGTTTTTGATCGGTAATTAATACTAGTTGATATCAAAGTACACATGTAGTTACGCCATTATCAATATGATATTTGGTTGGTGTCTAGTACTATTTGAAAACAGTTCACTGTACATAAATTGTGATTGTTTATGGTTATTTCATACAATTTGACATTTAAGTCGATTTACATATTTCATATCTAAATCGCGTTTTAGTCACAATCAATGTCATACTATTTCATATCTACATCGATCATAATGCATTGTATTTTCTGGGTGCTTTTTTTTCAGAAATAATATTGTACGGTATATTTAGATCGATTTTACTTCATATTTGATGTGATTCTGTATGGGTAGTTAATACTATTTGGTGTCTGTATGAACACATTGCAGTGTGTTTGGGGTTGGATTATTTTCCAAAAATAATATTGTTCTGAATATATAAGTCGCGTTTACTGATTATTACTATTTGATAACCGAAGTTACTTAATTCTCAGTGTGATCTTTTGAAAACTTTAAGTGTATACTGAATATTAAATGTGGTTCTTTTGGGGGTAATTAATAACATTTGATATTTAAATGGATTAACTGCATATTCAAGGTGGTCTTTTAATGGGCACACTTTATGTATTTTATATCTAAATCGCGTTTACTGCATACTAGTATTTAATGGAGATTTTGATATCAGAATATAGATGTTATCAATGTCATTATCAATGTGATATATGATTGGTGTCTAAACCTATTTGAAAACAGTTTACTGTACATTAATGTGATTGTTATGTGGCTGCTTAATGCATCTGATATTTAAATGGATTTATATTTCATATCTAAATTGAGTTTACTTCACGATCAATGTCATATCAATGGGTAATTGATACTATTTGATATCTACATTGAGCATAATGCATTGTATTTTCTGTGGGGTTTTTTCAGAAATAATATGGTACTGTATATCTGAATCGACTTTACTTCATATTTGATGTGATTGTTATGGGAAATTAATACTATTTGGTGTCTATATCGATCATAATGCTATGTGTTTTGTGTTGTTTTTTGTGTTAATGTTCATGTTAATGTTAATATAAACTGAGTTTGCTACACATTTGACGTTGGTTTTTTGCGTAATTAATACTATTTGATAACCGAAGTAACTTAATTCTCAGTGTGATGTTTTCATTGGTATTTAATACCTTTTGATAACTTTAAGGTTATACTGAATAATAAATTTGGTTCTTTTATGGGTATTTGATACCATTTGATAATCAAAATGGATTAACTGCATATTCACGGTGGTATTTTTATGGGCACCTTTATATATTTATTATCTAAATCGCGTTTACTTCATACTCGTATTCAAGTGAGTTTTTTATGGGTCTTTAATACCATTTGATAACAGAATAAACATGTTGTTACGTCATTATCAATGTAATCTTTGTTTGTTGTCTAGTCCTATTTGATAGCTTAAACCAGTTTATTGTTTATCAAAGGTGCAGCCTCACCATAAATAGTACACAAGTTCATGTGAAATATGGACTGGCAATTTCAAAACAGTTACTTCCAAAATGAGAAAAAGAATGCTTCTAACTGTAGCTATAGTACATATTGAAAGCTGATCGATTTGTTGTGGTAACGCACAAGATAAGTGGGTGTAGACATACCGATTTATACATTTAAAAACATTCAGGTTATGCAGTAACCAAAACATTTAATTTCAAAATGCTCTTTTTTATGGGCACCCTTTATATATTTATCATCGCATTTACTTCACGTTAGTATTCAATGGAGTTTTTCTAGGGGTATTGAATACCATTTGATTACAGAATATACATGTAGTTACGTCGGTATCAATGTAATGTTTGATATGTGTCTAGTCCTATTTGAGAAAACTATGGCAGTGTGGATATCCTCTAACTTATATAATACAAGTTTATTATTCGGGGATCATCCATATTTTCTTTAGGCTTTGTTATTGAAACACAAACAGTACAACTATTGGTGTCGTCCGTAAAATAGACAGGGTGTTTCATTGTTTTGATACAACAAGCGGTATCAACGTTTCTTTTACAGTTTCCTGAAAACGGACCCGAGACCACCTACTTTGTATTTTCGTCAAACACTGACCCTCATTCTCTTCGCAGTATGAATTTGAAACAAATCCTTCAGTAAATGTTGTTCGTATACGGCTACAGCAATATAGGCAGATCACGCCACGTTTATGTGTGTAGATATCTGCATATAGATATTTCAAGGCGAACGTGATCAAGGACTATAAAATGATTATCAAAACTCAAAATTTGATTAAATGTAATTATTGCGATTATTGACTACTTTTGTTACTTAATGATTACTTAAGTCACTGTAATTTGGGGGGAACGGGAAGTCACTGTAATTTGGGGGGAACGGGAGGCCCAGTCGTATCAGGCGCCACTATACGCTGTGCAGAGTTGCGTCGCTTAGGCACGCCAGAAACCTATGATTGTGGGTTCGAATCCCGGTTCGCCCCGATTATGTTTCTGGGTTTGTCAGCACTATACCTATGATCGTTGGTTTCACCGAAGTGGTAAACCTACATCACTTCGGTCTTTCCTCTCACATTAAGCTGACACGCCGTGATATAACTGGAATAATGTTAAAAACGGCGTTAAACCCAACTCACTCACTCACTCACTGTAGTTTTACTTCTATGAATATTGATAACATTGGATAAAATGATAGTTTTCATCCCTGGAACAACGCTCGTTCGTAAATGTTTTTTTTATGAAATGGACCCTACGGCCTCATGCGGCCACATCTTTGCTGACGTGAATTTCGACTACCGATCGAGTTTTAACTTGAGTGTCTTTGCTCAACATGTGTAAACATTTATTCAAGAAATTGTTTCAAATTCATACAATGGAGTAAATCGACCCAAGAAGCTCCGGGGTAGAATAGGTCTTCAGCAACCCATGCTTGCCATAAAAGGCGACTATGCTTGTGGTAAGAGGCGACTAACGGGATCGGGTGGTCAGGCTCGCTGACTTGTTTGATGCATGTCATCATATACCAATTACGCGGATTCGATGCTCATATCAATCACTGGATTGTGTGGTCCAGACTCGATTATTTACAGACCGCTGTCATATAGCTGGAATATTGCTGAGCCTGCGTTAAACAACAAACCAAACCAAATCTGATGACACCTGATGATTGCGATACTCAAATGACAATGAGGAACTGATTGCTTTATTGGATATTTCTAGGGAACTGGAGAATCGTTATCAGCCTCATTGCATGTTTATTTAACATAAGTACACACTGAGCACATTCATTTAGTTATCCTTTTTTTCATAAACCTTTCATACCTTCATACTAATAAATATTCTCAATTTTGTTATTTTGTCCTGTTATTCTTTGAGGCTATGATTTCACAAACGTTTGTTGCCATCAATGGCAGGGATAGCAGGATGAATTATTTTTGGATATGCAGCATTAGACAATTCATTGCCTGTCGTATGGTAATTGATGCATTTTTAAGACATGTCATGAAACAAAGTTTACACTGGTTGCTCTGTTAATAATCATTGTCATGGTCTAGTAGATAGTGTCTGCCAGGGGGTGGAAGGTAAGTGGTTCCATTCCGGGCATATCAGAAGATGTTAATAGATGGTACTTGTTACCCTGCCTGGCAATAAGGGGGTAAAACAAGTCGGCTCTGAGTCAGTATAATATGTCTGAGTTGGGTATCGTGTTAAACTGCGGCACGGTATCTCAGTGGGCTAACACTATAAAACCCGCATTAGTCTGGACTAGTCTGGACTAGCGCGTGCACGCACCCCATTTAAGCACTTTTCATTGAAGTGAACACTATCAAACAACAATCTTCTATTGAATCTTTGAATATCACAACAAAACCCAGCTCGGGTTATCATATTTATTGATGTGAAATGAACATGTATCACAAGCATGTCATAGATACACATAGCTTGATGAACATGACAAGATACTAACATGCATGCCTAATGCATATATCAGCCAAGGTAGCCTCACAAGCAAAGGTGGGTTCAGAACATACAAATGTAGATTATAGCAGTTATGTTTTGGGTTACCTTATCATTCAATATCAGACATAAAAATGAAAATATATAGTACAACAACATGGAGTTGTCCCCCTGTTCTTTGACTTTCTGACAAAAAATTAGTTTGCCTGATGGATCCGACTACCCTTACAAAAAATAAAATCAGAAGAAATCAATTCAGAATGACAATATTTTTAGACTGTCAAAGGTAAAGATCGCATTTACAATATAAACGACTAAGAAATGCCACTGTAGGTTTTTAGATTTAAAATATTTATGGGATAAAAATCAGGCCAATTCTTTTCTTTTTTAAATTATCACCTGCCAATCCAAATCAAACTTTCAGATGATTAAATCAATTCTGTAAAAAGTGTTTTATTTCTAATATTATTTTGACCTACTGACCAAATATTTCACTATCAAAATCTGTAAACCGAATAAAAAACAGTATGGCCTGAAGCTGAGTAGATTGTACCTTGACCTACCTACATTTATTCAAGGTTGTCTGAAACGTCTTGATTCACAGAAAGCTAACAAGATTCCTTTCTTGTAGCCAGCCTTGACACTGTGCCATATATGTAAGGGCAAGATGAACGAAAAGCTAAATAAAACATTGGACAAACCAGTAATAAATTTGTTGTGGCCTTATTGTCATTGCAAAATAACATTTGAAATGTTCACTAAAAATGCTCAAATGCATGACATAAAAGACGCTGTTTAATGTATAAGAGTAACCAATAATTCTGTGTTATTTACTTATCTCCTATTTGATCCTTCAGGCATCAACAGCAAGTTTTATCACGTGCAGCATAGCTAATTATTCAAATTTACAGAATGAAATGGGTTCCCAGCAGCATATTTGTACATATTCATATACAACATCATTGAAAAACTGACTTCTGCAAATGAACAAAGTTCTTGAAATACCTGGATTGGTTCAAATTCAGGCACTTTTCTGGGTATCCAAAAATATCAAATCAAAATGTGAAAAATCATTTTCTGTGAGTTTGTTTTACAAAAATAAATTCACATATAATCATTGTTCGACAATCAGTTAAAAAAGGTGATCTTAACAAAATAAAACAGTTGTTTTTCCCTGAAGTAATGATTTTCCTACTGTTATTTTCAGAAACACAACATTTTCTAGCTATCTCACAGCTGAAAGTTCACAAATCAAATTCCATAAACATTTTAAAGACATTACATTGAATGTTAAAGGACATATACCAGCAATACCAGTTTATGTACACTTCAGGACATAAAATTGTCCAAATATCTAAATGAAAACATTTAAGTCAATAATTGAATAGAGCCTTATCATTGGACACATATTCCAGCCAGAAAGATGTCACTAGCACTAAGAAGCACTTTACATTCAGCATAATCTGATGTTGCCAAATATCATAGTAAAAGGATGAGGTTAAAGATCAAACTGAAATTCTCCTTACATTGCAATAATACACTCATGCCTGTATCAAGATATAAATAAATACAAGAAAAGACAGTATGAGTTATTCTGGTTTATGAAAATACAAAAATCAACTGAAATAATAAACAGAAAAATATGAATAGAAAACAAAGAAAAAGTAAAAGGGTTACATTAAATAATCTACAAAATAAATCAGACTGAAACCATTGCACGAGAAATAAACATCACAACTACAAAGACTTCCATCAAATCAAGGAAATATGATAAACAGTTCAGCAAAGTAGACATTTACCCAATTTAAATTTGAGCAAGTAATCAAATTCAACAAAATTAAATATGTGGCTATTAAGTAGGCTCTTTCTTGAGTCCCGAAAATTACTGTTTACAAAGTACAAGGATTGTGAAACTCATTGTAAATCTGTGTACATATATCTCAAAATTGCAGAGAAGTATGTACCAAGAGAAACATTATTTACCTAGTGAGCTTGAATCATTGTCCTACCAACTGATAGTGTAAATGTCTTAATATTATTCTAACAACTAAACATTGAACAAATCCAACAATTACATTCAAATCAATAACACATGTTCATGGACAACAATCATTATTTATCACCGTTTTCATTTGAAGTAAATATTCTTTTTACACTGAACACTTTAGTAATTTATGCATAATTACATAGCATGATATTTGGATATTCTGTTATTTTCTGATAAGTGTGATATGTAGATCAGCATGTTCATCAAAAGTAAACACTCAAAGAATGTAAGTTAGTTTGGTTATTAACTTGTACTTAGAAAGTTTTACTTCTCATTTTCCAATATTTATAGTAAACATTTTCCAAATGTTCTCAATTCATTTCATATATCAATTTAGCAAAGTCATTAATCATAAAATCGTCTCTACCTTGAGATTGATTTCTACTCCATATACATGACATATTTTGTGACAATTCCCAAGAAGTAAAACAAGTTCTATGGATGAACAACTTCTTTATTACAATTAGTGCGACGTTTCGGTGTAGATCCTAATACCTTTATCAAGCAAGTGATGTTGATAGATGAGATTGCCACGTCTCCATGAAGACGACGTATATCTTCTTTCAGTGGCATTTAGAAGTTGGTTGCTTGATAAAGGTGTTAGGATCTACACCGAAACGTCGCACTAATTGTAATAAAGAAGTTGTTCATACATAGAACTCGTTTTACTTCAACACACCAACTTCTAAATGCCACTGAAAGAAATTGCCAAGAAGAATGAACAACAGTCTATCTGAATTCAATATTATTACCGGTAAATAGGTTTTGTATGAAACAGATAAAACCTTTATTTTGATAACACATGCAACATGTATAATGTCTGCATATCATTATTGATCAACAAATCATACCATGTCCACATGACATCAATGATCAAAATGTGTCTACTTTACCATTGTCTACATGATTATAATTATCATCAAATTGTTACCATACCATTGTCTGAATAACATTAAGGATCACAACAATGTTTTACAAAAGAAAGAAAGTCAAGTTTATTCCCAAACTTACTTGTGCGTTTGTAAGTATTGCTGATCTCTGAAGTTCAATTTCAATATCTCACAATGTTTGTCAAAATGAGACCATCCCTAAAGCTTGGAAGACTACAATGAAATTATACTTTTTGTCCATCAGTTGTTGCCAGAAAACAATACATCTTCATCTGAAGCATTTGGTGCAGTGAATGTACATTGCATTTCAGAAAAGAAGAAATATGATTCCGGTCTTCAAGATCCTTTTTTCCAGATGCCAGATTGGACAAGTGTGCCCTTTTGCATTGTGGCAAGACCTGTACCTAATTGGTTATCACTATTTTGATTGTATGCTACATCCTGTACAGATCCTTCAACACAAAAATACAAGAACATACAAATTTTACAAGTAAGCCTTTTTACAATGGTGCTATTTTGTTCCAAGTATGCAAAGATCTGATAAAGAATTAACTCAGTTTAACACATGCTGGAGTCAGGGCTGAAAGCTTGACTTTTTCTTCACAAAAATGAGATAAGAAAAAGAGAGAGTTTGATTAACACAATACTGAAATCATTATAATAAATTAGCTGCTTTGAAATATAACCTTTCAATGGTTTAAGGAGGCAATTCATGCTTGAAATTTTCACATAATTCCTGTTGAAATTTGGTTCACTTATGAAAAAATCATCAATTACAATACCGATAGATTATTCCTGGACACAATAATCCAATGAAAACCTATTTGTTTCTTACCTGGTGGAAGAAAGGATGAAATACTGAAAATTATTTACACAAAAAAATATATACTTCTGGTTCACAATATTACCCAAAATATGAATTTTATCAATACTGATCCAATGCTTGTGATACTGTATGTGTCTAAGGCTGCAGGTGTAACAAGTCTTATAGAAAACTGGTAACAACATCAGTACATAGCTGAAACGGAAATATGTTCAAACATTCTTTCCAAAATGTTAATGTTCTCTACAAATATGTAGAAAGTATCCATGCTGCCACAGTAAAATAATCTTTATTTACAATTGAGCTGGAGAAAATAATCACTCCAGTATTTAACTCCTCATCTTTGTACTTCACATCACATGATGCTGAAACAATCTTGAGCAATTTAAATCGGTTAGTATCGATTATAATTGTAGTGAATAAGAAGAAAACACTTAATATGCCAAAATAGCATAAAATTAATCCTGTTAGTAGATTTGAGGTTAGGCATTATGAAAGAGTATGCATAAAGACTTACATATACAAAACACTATACACTATTTATAAGCCAAATATAGGGCCTGTGACAGTGGGATATTAAAACATCATATTATGGTAAGACCACACTAACAGCAAGGTTGAAGTTGAATGTATGTATATTAACTGTTTGGGAATCTGATTTCAATGGTATTTTCAAGGGTTTTAGATTAACCACTAAAAAGACTCAGAGGAAGAATTCTTTTTTATATGTACAATTCATGCTAATAACAATGATACAATTTGTTTACAGGACATCTAAGGATAAAAAATTCTCCATAATATACTTGCACATCCCTTTACACACATTACAAAAATTGGGAATTTGTAAGTTCAGGAATATACAAATGCATAACCCACAACATCTTTTATTTTCATTATTTTGTGAAAGTTAAAAAACATGAAAGGGAAAATTTTGGCAACACTTTTTTGGTTTACATATAAATATATCACTGTTCGGTGGTTTCTTATACAGTATAAATCATTTAATTCTTTAAAACTATGAATACAATATCATCTACATGTACAGTTGACATGTACACAAACTCAAAGAGCCTGAGTAACAGTAGCATCCTTCTTTTAGTATTCACAATTTGCAACACTACAGCATTAATAGTTTACTGGTAAATCTGCATAAAGAGAAAAAAAAGTGCTTAATTTACTCTGTAATATGTTTATCTGTCAAAAAATCATTTCATAAAAAAACAAAGTACTCAGTTTGCTGTCTTGTGATGTTTCTTGGTAAAATTGACTTCTTTAGTCTATGGTAGTTGGGGATCACACTCTGAATGTATATATTTCATAAAAAGAATCTGTTTTCTTGAGTGAAATAAATCAAACTTACTTTCACTCAAAAGGAAAGTAAGGAAACCTTTAAGAAAATATATAATTTTATAAAAATATTATCCTTATTTTCTTTCCCAGACAAAAGTGGTCCATTACTGACACATATATCAATCACCGAGTCACTAATTATAAAACACAGTTATAAACAATAGTTTAGAACAAAAGCATTCTTTGGCTAATGTGTCTATAATCAACTGGCCATCTCCAAGACTAATTAAACTGCGCTATGTATTGTGAGTTAGATGTCACTATTGTTCAACAAAACAATCAAAATTACACCACTATGTCCAACTCTGGTCCTTATCCACAGAGTAGGCTATTATATAATTAACACTTTCATAATCAAAGCCTAGGTTCCTCCCAATTCAACAGATTTACCTACCTTCCTCGCTTTAAATATGTTTCAAGGTTATCTCCGGTGTTCAATAGTAGTAACAGAGTTATCTCCCCTACCAACAGCCTACAAGAAGTTACATGGATTTATCACCCCTAGCAACAGAGGGCATGATGTAACAGAGTTGTCTCCCCTACCAACACAGGACAGGAAGTAACTGAGAGTTTTCTCCCCTAGAAACACAGGCCATCCTGGTGCTAGTACAATGGACCCTCTGTATCCACTTTTCGACGCCTGACATTGTTCTCTCTCCTCAGGGCTTCCGCATGTAGAACAGCTTCCTTTGCCAAATGTTTCTCTCGAAGCATCTGAAGCTTGACTGTGCGGGGGATGTCTGGGACAAGGTAGGACACCAACCAAGACAGGAACACCACAACCAACTGCAACAGAAGCAAAACATATCAGGATCAAAAACTGATGTCTGATGTACACTGAAGCTTTGCACAGAGACAGCGAAAGAAAACTGGTAAACAACAAAACAGTCAGAGAATTTGTATTTTCAGGAACGTTTAACATATTATATCCATAGATATTGCAATAATATCCACCAAATATACCATTTTCATGGCTAACAATTGGTCCTAGTGACAAGCATACTTAAAGGATGAATATTATCAACTCACAATGAACGCAATGATGAAGGCTAGCTTGGCTGTAAGGATATGCCAGAACACTGTACTGTAGGCGTAGTTTTTCGTTTCATCCCTGTAATCTCTGTAGCTGAAAAATAAATATACCAATTGTTTTTATTAATCATATTCAAATACTAAGGTACTAAGGTACATGAGCCTTTTTGACTTTTCTTTCTTACCAATTTTCCTTTTGAAAAAGATTTCATACTAAGTTTACAGATGAGAAGAGAGGAAAGATGGATCATCAGCTATTATATTAGCTCACTTGGGTCAACTGTCCTGGTTTGCCAGATGGCCATCCTTTAGATTATTGCAAAAGGAACCAGACTAAATTTTATCGGGAAAAAAAAATTTCCCTGAAAATTCTTGAAAATAATAATTATGCTTGACCTTTGGGGAAAAAAAGAAGTTGCCCGCCACAAAAACTGCATTGTCGCAAGTTGTTTTTCTTAAAAGATTCAGACTCATAGTTTTAAAAGAAAAAAATATCTGGTTTTGCAGCTTAAGCTGAAAAAATATCAAATTTTGATACAAAATTCCAGCCCCACCTCCCGAATATCAAATGGTCTGTCATTAAGTAACTTTTCAATATTTTAATTGCTTCGTCAGTGGTTTCATCTTCAATTCTGATCCCGCATACAAACAGAAGCCTCAATGAAAGTTGATTGTCAATCAAGTCACTAGATCAAAATATACAAAATATTACTCATAAGAAGTTTTATCATGTTGAGATGAAACATAACAATTTACATTATTTTCTGAAATTCATATTTGTTGAAAAGGTCAATATTTATGCCGTAAACACACATAAACCCCCTTATGTATAAAAAAATACATACAAAACATTTCCACTCATTGCATTCAGAAAACAATGAAAAAAATAAACAATGTAGACACATAAAACTCACAAGATGTTTCCCCCAAAGAAATAATTAGCAGTAACAATAACACATTAACAATATTAAAAATAATGTCGGGGCGATCGGGTAGCCTAGTGATCAAAGCATTGGCCCGTCATGCCGACGAACCGGGTTCGATTCCTGACATAGGTACAATGTGTGTAGCCCATGTCTGGTGTTCCCCGCTGCGATACTGCTGGAATATTGCTAAAAGCGGCGTAAAACTATACTCACACGCTCCCTAGCAATAATGTCCATTGGCCCTACAGAACATCTCAATTGACCGAATAAATCATGAAGACAACAAAACAGGGTTACAACAAGGGCCCCTTAACTTTCAAACACTGTACTGAGATCAATACAAAAGGTCAATCATACCTGCATGTTGTAACTTCCCCAAATTCATCAACTTTGAGGTCAGCAGGTAAGCTTGAATTCTCATAATCTTTCACTCTGAACTCCGACAAGCTGAACTTAATGTAATCTTCCAGGGAGCCGTTATTGTCATAGGCAAACCGATACACCAGTTTGGGTACAAACTCGGATGTAAACGCGATGATACAAGCCTGAAAGTAGCAAACAGCATAAATATACTCATCGACAGAAGTTAGTCAACGCTAATAATACACAGTGATTCAGTTTACCTGCAATTTACAATTTTTGTGCCCTATGTTCATCAAAATTAACAATAGACACAGATAATATCCACTGCAAGTCCCATAGGATGTAAAATAGTTCTGATGTTGGAAAGCACGAAACTTCTATAACTGAAGCATGATTTTCTGTTGTGACCAGAACCTTTTTTGTGTGTGTGTGTGTGTGTGTGTGTGTGTGTGTGTGTGTGTGTGTTTGTTGTTTAACGCCGCACTCAGCAATATTCCAGCTATATGATGGCGGTCTGTAAATAATCGAGTCTGAACCAGACAATCAAGTGACAATCCTGTTAATTGGGAACGATGACATGCATCAACCAAGTCAGCGAGCCTGACCACTCGATCCTGTTACTCCTTTTACGACAAGCATAGTCGCCATTTATGGCAAGCATGGGTTGCTGAAGACCTATTCTAACCCAGATCTTCACGGGTCTGTGACCAGAACTACGATCATTGTTGGAACAGTCCATGTCAGACTTTCTTCACTCAGTTTCCATCAAACAAAGATCTCCCCTTCCATAACGAGCAGGAGGCATCATACATACTTTGTATTTTATTTGTTACTGGAAATTGTCACTTAGGACCCCCAAATGTATTACAGCGAGTCCCCAAGATAAATATATAGACCAATGTGAGTCCATTACATTTGAAGCAACAGCCACAGTGGAGATGCCTCTCAAGATTCCAAACCAGATTCCTGAAACAGGAGGAAGATAATGACTAGGAAGGATAAATAAATTCAGTGTTCATGATCTCTAACACATCAGGAAAACATCCTATACATAAAAACGTTTTCTTATCCCCTTAATGTGCCAGGCAGGGCAACAACAAGTATCATCTCTTAACATTTCTTGGTAAGACTCGGCTGGGGATGAACCACAGACATTCTGCTCTCCAGGAAGATGTTCTTTCCACTAGACCACAGTACTGTGCTCCAAGGAGATAGGAAAGCCTATTTATACCCTTTGAGTTACCTTTGCCTGTCCATAAACATAACGAGTCCTGGGCTGAGCACATGAGGGATTAACTATTTCAGCTAAATCTTGGTATGTCTGGACCAGTATTCATGTTGACAGGTAAGCCACCAGGCCCCATACCGTAACCATCCAATCCTCATTAGTTACATCTGACAGCTTGGCGCATGCTGGCTATTCCCACAGGGTGAAGTAGCTCAGCTAAATCTTTGTATGTCTGGACCAGTACTCATGTTCACATATAAACAGTCATGCCCTTATCGTAACCACCTAATCCTCATTAGTCAAATCTTACAGCAATCATTGGATACAGCATGGGGACCAAGCTGCCTGAAGGTCTGAAATACTAGCGTACTAAAGCTGTGTATGTTCAACACCCAGTACTGACCAATATCCTGAGCTCTTGCTGCAAGAGGTCGCCTCCATTGTGTCACAAACTTGTAAGCATCCAGTCTCACTTCGATGATGTTGTTAAGGAGCGCAAATAATGGCGCCAGTGGGAATGCTGCCACAAAAATAGTCACAAATCCATACTGAATAACTGAAAGAAAGAAAAACAAAGGTTGAAGGTGTATGACAGAGAATATCCTGAACATATTTAATGAGAGATATCTGTATGGTTTGAAGAACATATAGAGGAAATGTTCACATGTCCTTAAAATAGGTCTGGGGAATCAAACCTGGTTTTCAGCCTAACAAGCGTACACTATAACCACTAGGCTACCCCTGACTAAGTGCATTCAAATAGATTAAATTTGTGCATGAAATTGAACTAAAATTAGATTTTGAGTACCTGTTATATAACAAGATATGTATCCTGGTTAAGGATATGAACCTTAATATATAACTAAAACTAACAGATACTTCTTACTGATATGATCTAATTATAAGTGGGGACATTGATCCTTTTGCATCTGATACCCGGCATTAAATACTAAGGACCTATTACCTTTTTCCCTTACCTATGAAAACAGGCATTGAATACTAAGTACTTTTTACCCTTTTCCTTTGCCTCTGAGGATAGGCATTGAATGATATGGACCTATTCCCCTTTTCCTTGCCTCTGAAAACAGGCACGGGATACTAAGGACTTGTTCGCCTTTTCGGGGGCACGGGTGGCCCAGTCGTCAAAGGCACCGCAATTCGCTGTGCAGAGTTCCGTCCCCTGGGCACGCCAGAAACCTATGATTGTGGGTTCGAATCCCGGTTCGCCCCGATTATGTTTCTAGGTTTGACATCACCATACCCATACTCATGGGTTTCACAGAAGTGGTACACGTCTGAGACCTGCATCACTTCGGGCTTTCCTCCCACATTAAGCTGACACGCCGTGATATAACTGGAATACTGTAAAACGAGGAGTTAAACCCAACTCACTCATTCACTAGTCCCCTTTTCCTTTGCCTCTGAGGACAGGCATTGAAAACTAAGCAATTATAACCCTTTTCTTTTGCCACTGACAACAGTCATTGAATATTAAGAACTTATTCCCCTTTTCCTTGCTTTTTAAGGACAGCATTGAACACCAAGGACCTGTTACCTTTTTATTTTGATTCTGAGGACAGGCATTGAACATCGAGAACCTTTTACTCTTTTGTTTTGCCTCTGAAGACAGCATTGAACACCAAGGACATTTTACCTTTTTATTTGGCCTCTGAGGACAGCATTGAACACCAAGGACCTGTTACCCTTTTCTTTTGCCTCTGAGGACAGTCACTGAACACCTATGACCTATTCCTCTTTACCCTTTGCCTATGGACCTATTCTCCTCACACAAGTGTCTTCACAAACCGATTAACACAGACATACAATAGACTCAAATGTTACATATCAGGGATCCATATGTCACAAATCTTTCACAAATAGGTACACTAATTTGGTGTAACACTGTAGCGATAACACAAGCCGATAAACTTGGTATCACCATCTGATAAATATGCAAATGAGGTCACCTACATGTACAAGGAAGAATGTGAAACAGGCTCCATACATCAGTATGTGTCATGCTGGCCAAACACACTTGGTACAGTAACACACTTGGCTAATCATTTCTGTTCCCAGATCTTCATAAGTGAACTCTTATAAGCATCATGGGGTACTGCGGACATATTCTACTCATGGTGCCCCATTGGAACTAATTCCAAATACCCACCCATCTCCAAATATTCATCGAACAGTCCCAGGTCAGGCATGGTAGAAAGGTTATAATCTTCCTCCCAGCGGGGCAGAGTCTCCTTCTCCTCATCAGACACCTTACGTGACTTGAACCAGTTCATCACCTTCCTGCAAAAAACAACCATACAGTCGGATACTTGCTGAGAATTTCTTTCTTGGTGTCTTCTAATCTAGGAGAGCTTTGAGCTCAACAAGGCTCAAAGTATCTAAGTCTTAAGTAAAATTCACTCCTGCAATATTGTTTACTGAACAAATTGCCTATTTTTGTTTTTGGAAACCATAGATTGTCTGCTCCAGACTTGATTATTTACAGGCTTACATCATATAACTGGAATACTGTTGAATAAGGCGTTAAACAACAAACACAAAAACACTATCCATGCTCAGTAGCAATTGTGACCATCGGATCCCTAAATTTTAGAGCATAAAGAGTAGAGTATAAACGGCATCTGTTACACATCTTCAGGACCTTTAATTGTGACATGGTAGTTTCAACACAAATCACAGAAGTACTTACGGCAGAACAACCTCCTTGAAGTTGTTGAAGGTCTGTTTGCCGATCATGATGACTCCCAGCTGGATGCACAACTCTATCAGACAGCCTGCAGGGTCACACTGGAACATATACAGCTCATCTCACACCTCCCCCAGCTCCTTGGCAGAGTACTTGTCATAACATGTTATCAGGGCTTGAACTTCAATATGTTGGGCAAGACTGACATACTAGAGACACAAAGGTGTTGAGTCAAGTGGATGATAACTTTTGCTATACCAAATTTCAAAACGCTTTGGACCCATGTTCAGGGGGTGAACTTCAATATGTTGGGTAAGACTGACATACTAGAGACACAAAGGTGTTGAGTCAAGTGGATGATAACTTTTGCTATACAAAATTTCAAAATGCTTTGGACCCATGTTCAGGGGGTGAACTTCAATATGTTGGGCAAGACTGGCATACTAGAGACACAAAGGTGTTGAGTCAAGTGGATGATAACTTTTGCTATACCAAATTTCAAAACGCTTTGGACCCATGTTCAGGGCTTGAACTTCAATATGTTGGGCAAGACTGACATACCAGAAACACAAAGGTGTTGAGTAAAGTGGATGATAACTTTATGGTCCCTATATCAGGCCCCATTCCACAAAGCGATGTTAGCACTGGTACTGTCATATATCTTTGTTAAGGTACAGTAATTGTCTCAGTCTTCATGGAACAATGGAATCACCATTCCTCAAAGCGAGTTTAGCATGAAGATTGTCATCTGTAGCTCTTAGAGTATGCAGTTGCTAAGATCGCTTTATGGAACAGGGTCCTTTGAGATCCCACACAGTTCCAAAATAGTACCAACCTCTTCTTGCCTGCTGCCGAGGATCGCCCTGTTGTAGTTGCCTGGTCGACCAGTTAATCTGAAAAACAAGATTGCAGGAATCTAGAGTCTACATATGATTCCAGGGAATCGTGATAAAGACACAAGGTTTTGCATCTGAAAAATGACATCAAGTCTTGTGCGAGTAAACCAATGTCCAATGTCCAAGTTTTATTCACGTTATCAGAGTAAATAAAACACTGACTAAAAGCTGGTCTCAAAAGTGGATTTCATCTACATATATAAGATTGGGTCAAATTGAAGGTCCCAACAAGTTATTAAAGTAAATAGAAGTGACAAAACCCTTTCCATAATCATAGGAAATCTCTGCCAAAAGCAGAGCAGGTTGTACGATATACCAAGACCATGTGTTTATGAATCACTATCAAGTAGTGATGATACCAGGAGAGCATATCCTGCCCCACACCTAAAGAACTCAAACCTCAGTTAATACAAGGGGTGGTGGGGTAGCCTCTCGTCACGCCAAAGACCCGGATTTGGTACATTGTGAAGCCCATTCCTGGTGGGCCCCGCCATGATATTGCTGGAATATTGCTTAAAGCAGAGTAATACCATACTCACTCTCTCAGTTAATACAATCCCACTGTACATCAATACTGCCTCAATTTGGTAGCAATTACAAGATCTTGACCAATATGTAAGAAAAGACACCAGACCTTAGAATTATAGTCAGTCTTTAATTCCTAAGTGCCAAGTACCAATCCCAGCAGCCCAGTGCATATCTTCTCCTACAGGAGATGATGGGGCATTTTTCTACCAAGAGACTTCAGTACTACAAGTTCCATAAAAGTCTCAATATCGATGCAGCATACATCAGTGAGTAACTGTGTCTTCAATTATATGATGGCGTGTCAGCTTTCTGTGTAACAAAGTGATGCAGGTTTTAGATAATGTTTGTTGAAACCAATATGCATATGGGATTCAAACCCACAATTGCAGGATCATAACGTGCCTAAGAGATGCAAATCTACAAATCCAGTTTGGGCACCTTTGATGACTGGGTCAAATCTACCCCCAAAGTTCACTAAGAATGAATAAAAGCAGCAAAAAATATTTCCATAATCATAAGAAATCTCCAATGTACGATTCCGACTATATCATAAATGTGCTTATGAATCACTATCAAATTGGGATTGTACCAGGTGTTTGCGAATAGATGAGCGAAGAAATGACTGCTGGCTTTGTGTTACTTACTTTCCCTTGAAGAAGGCAATGTAGAAGAGCGAGGCGTAGTGGTTGACGAACTGGAACAGGAACATCTTGAGGGTGAAGCTGTCTTCCCACTCTGTCTGTGTGCGGTGGGTTTCTGTCAACATAGCCCAGCATTACAAACATGCTGAACACGTCCAGGGATGCAACATAACCTGACACATTCACTAACAAACAGTGATAACACATTGCCATGTGGCAGTGGAGAGAGTGTGATTAGAGTTGCCTCCTTTGGTTGTTGACAAACATGACAGTCGAGATGGGACAGTTTCTAGAAGGCTGGCTGATCCTACATAAGATTTGTTTGTTTGTTTGTCGTTTAACGCCACACTCAGCAATATTACAGCTTTATGACGGCAGTCTGTAAATAATCGAGTCAGGGACAGACAATCCAGTGACTGACATCATGAGCATTGATCCACAAAATTGGGATATGATGACATGCATCAACCAAGTCAGCAAGTCTGACCACTCGATCCCGTTAGTGGCCTCTTACGACAAGTATAGTCACCTTTTACTTTATAAGAGTGACATGAGGATGATTCAAAGCCTTCTACCTATGACTTATCGACTTGCCAAGTACGGGTTGGATACCTAGTTGTAAACACCGAATTCTTGCCTGCTTCCAACAATACTATTCAAGAACTGAGCATGTGCTTCTTTCAAGACATTTGACAGTGGCAAATTCTTGGCACTCTTGAGTGCACTGACACGTTAAAGGACCTGTTACTCATTGCTGCTGCCACATACTTGTGATCGGGAACCAAAAAGTGTGTTTCAATACACTCTTAATTTTTAATTGACCTTGTGTAGTAATTTCCTTATTTCAGAATTTAGTTCTCTGTAAACTGATTTCTGGATTATCCTTTGCATTACAATTTGGAGATCACATCGTTACAGTTTTAGTGACCCTTGCCATACAGTTAACATTAGACAAAGTGACTCTAGAAAGATAATGTCAATTTGCATCCCTGACTTCAAGGCTTCACGGTTGAGAAATACAAATAATTTCTGTATATCTAAACGATATACATATACAGTTTAGCCCCCACTCTATCAAGGTGCATACTCCAATGAACTCACACAAAGTGACAGAAGCTTTTGACAAAGTTCATACAATGTGGCCCTTATTCTATTAAAAGTTCACACTCCATTCAACTCACACAAAGTGAAAGTCCATTCTTAAAAAAACTCACAAAAACATGTTATAAACTTAAACTCACCAAAATATGTAATAAACTTACTCAAAACAAGTTATAAACTAAATCAAATTATGTTATTAACTCACCCAAACATATTTTTAACTCACCAAAATATGTAATAAACTCAATCAAAATATGTCACAAACTTAATCAAAATATGCTATAAACTCTATTAATATCCATTATAAACTCAATCAAAATTTATTGTAACTCACCAAAATTTGTTAACACCTCAGCAATGATCAAGTAGACCTGCAACAAAGGATGAAGAGCATGACGTCCTTGTATGCAGCCTTGTGAGCATGTCACCCATTCCTTAGGTAGATGTATTGTGTTCAAGCGGGCAAAAAAATGCTTTTTTTGTGTTTCCATGACATGGACGAATCTAACATACAAATTCTATAATATCAGTCGTAATTTGTATCATAACACAAAATCCTATAAGTGGCTGACAAAGAATCATTTTACTTCCTAATAGCACTGTGACAGTTTACTCATCTGGGACCACTTGCACAAAGTGATCTTAGCGCTAAGATGATCGTAACTCCCATTCTTTAACATAGGCTTACAATAGTTGTAGCACTAAGATCACTTTGTGCAAGTGGGCCCTGGTAGCTTTGGAGGTCTATTATATATTCATATATAACAAAATTACCTGTAAATCATGTACAGAACAGCACATTTACGTTCCCCGACACATTTCTTTCTTATCAACAGGGAGGATGCCACTGGCGGTTTGTTTTTTCATGTGAGTTTATGTCAAAATTGTAAGCATCCCACAAACCATATGCTGGGATCACTGCAATCAATGACACCTACCCTGCCCAGCACGATGATGATGACGAGGTTGATGCAAGCTGCTGTTGCTGATGTGATGGTAGAAGCTCGCTGACTGATCTCCTCCTGGTTTGCCCCATACAAGAGCGCAGACACCGTGATACGGTAGACGATGACACCAAACACTGCCGCCACTACCACACACAACTGTCAACAGAAGAATAGAAGCAAAATCAATCAGTGTGAAAAGAAAAATATTCAAAATACAAATGTTATTTCAAATGCAACAACTTGAATGTTCAGTGACTATTGCCCCAATTCCATGATGAATATTCCCAACCCTACCTTCATTTACTTCACGCCCCGGAGAGTGGAAGGTCCGGGGTTTGATCCCTGACCGCATCATACCCAAAGATGGAACTTGTTGTTACCCTGTCTGGCGCTCAGGATTAAGGGGCTCAAACAAGGACTGGTTGGCTCGGAGTCAGTATACTTTGTCTGAGTGGGGTATTCATGTTTAACTGCGGCATGGTATCTTAGTGAGCTAGCACTATAAATCAACATCAGTCCGGACTAGTACAAGCAGCTACACACATACATACACGTGCATGCACGTCGCTATATAAGTCCAATAAACCCCATTTCACCTCACCTCATTTACTCCAATCCAAAGGCTAAAAGGTCTCAGACACAGTATACTGACTACAAACGAACCAGTCCAGTTTTGGATCCCATCACCTCCAAGTGGGGTAACAACAAGAACCATCTTTTAATGTCTTTTCGTATGTTACAGCCGGGGATCAAACCACCTGTCTCCAAGCAGATGCTCTAGATACGCCACCAAGGTGGTAGATTGTCAGGAATTCAAATTGCGGGACAATTGTGATGAAACATACATACCATGAAAAGGACGACCCAGAGAGAAGACAAGTAACGACACAACCGGCTGCCCAAGGACAGGTACGGCTCCTCGACCTGGAACACAACAACACGTGTCAATCATCTTCCTCGTTTTACAACAGCCAATCATATGATCATTTGCCTACAATGTTAATTTTACAATATGCAATGCAAACACTTGAAATGCATGACGTTTCACTTCTAAGTTAACAGATATATTTTATAGATCCATATATCTATTATTTGAGTATGTCCAGCTTCATTTTAAAACGAGGGCCCTATTTTTTTGGACAAATATGGAAATCACATGGCATAGATAGAATCTTCCAGGGCAATATGTTGTGTACTTTACTACAAATAGACATTCTGACACGGAGTTGACACACATGGCTCCATATTTACATAATATAACACATAACAAATAACTGATTAGCATATATTGAAATACTGAACACCTGGTACTGGCAAATAAATGTGTCATGATTATCACAATATATTTCAACATCTTATCCGCTGATAATTTGTGTTGTCAACATCCTATAGAAAAGTATCCTCACTTCACATTCCAATACACAGATCAAACTGACTGTCTGACAGTGATGCACTAGGCTGCTGCTTTCTCCACAAACTCAACACTGATGAACAAAATCATTGGCATCAACAACCTCTGAATGTTTGGCCATCTTACAGATTCCTTTAATTGTTCAAATGTCAGCTCTTAGCTTTTCAAAACATTTGTCCATATTTAAAGCGAAACTTTGTTCTAACTCTGACATACTGCCGAAGATGAGGTCATTGTCATCGGACAATCAGTAGAAGATTTCATGATCGATTCAATGCTTGGAAACTGAAGCTAGCAGATCACTGAAATTACTTTCTATGTCTAATTTCAATATTTTGTTCATCTGGAAGTTTGACTAAGTCTATATGCTATTCCTGTGGTCGAAAGATATCTGATTAACTGTGTAAATAAGAACTGAAATTTGAAGTCTATTTTTGGTGCTTTAAACTATTCTTTGAATACAGGACCCTAGTGCATCACTGTAGCTCTACTGCTATGCATAAAAATATGAGTGGCAATGTATGACTGAGGCACAGAAGCAACAAATAAATATCAATGCATTTATAAAAAAAAAAATTCATGAAGAAATCTACAACTGTGATAGCAAATAGATTCAGGATAATCAGTAAATAATGATTACCAATCAGTCAGAACACTGACGTTTCTCCATGTAATTACTTAAATGTTGAACTGTAAGTGTTTGTAAATATTTGAATACCACATAAACATGAACTATCAGAACTATGAAATTGAACGCAGAAATCAACAACTTTAAATCTTGAAATTATCAGTCATGATGAGACATCCAGTATGATATGACTTGGAGTATGCAGTGATACACATCCATGCTCTTACAAGACTGGCCAGGCATCGGGATGGGAGGTTGCCAATACTAGAGTCAGTGAGAGAAGACAACAAAGGCCAAGTAAACCAATGATCGATGGCAACAGCAGCCATCCATGCCATTGGGTGAGTGGGTGAGATGGGTTTAACGGTATTTCAGTTGCAATAGGGCGTGTAAGCTTGGTGTGGATGCAGGTCCTTGGTGTGTAGCAATTTGGTGAAACCCATGAGCATGTTGCAGACAAACCTAGAACCATCATCAAGCCCGATCTGGCATTAAGCCTACGATCAGAGATTTCTGGCAAGCCTTGGGGTGCATTTCTGAAGAGGGAATTGCTGCACCTTAGACGAACGACTGGGACAATCGACTAAATCGTCGAGGCCCGACCACCCCATACCACGTCAGCGGACTCTGACAAAGGTCAAATGACCAAAAGGTCAAAGCCTATTACTACAATTCCTGAAAGAAAGTGTGGCTGGTGTTTAAGCATGGCAATGCTGGGAAATCATGCAAGGTCTTAGCCACAGCCATGATAAGTTCAGTGAGTGCAAGTGTCATGCACACCCAACCGAAACAATTGCATGGTGACAAGACAGAGGGGTAGCTTATCTATAATGGTTCTCAAGTTGTATTTGAAAATTGAGTACGTTACCACTGAAATGGGTCCAAAACAATAGAGAAGCTATATATACATTTTGATAACAACATTAATAAAGGTTATCATGTGAGCGTGATTTGGATGGCAAATATCCTGTATAGGGAATAAACATTGTATTTAGCAATTCTTGGCAAGCACAAGAGTGACAAACTCTTTTACATGTAATGACATTCTTAAATTCTATCATCATTTTTTTTCTATCATAAATATAAGCAAAATACACATTACACATAATTTTCAATATCGGTGATCGCCTTCACTGCAATCCTTCGGTCTACCAGCTAGAGTCAAAGGGAAGTTACTCTGTCATGTATGTTTAGAGTGCCTGGCATGTCATAACATTACAAAATGCAGTCAGATGTCCAACATGGCCATAAAATGAAACAGGGAAAAATATTTCAGCCAAATCCAAATGTATTTAATTAGGGAAACGAGCCAAAGTCACAGAGGTCAACAAGCACAGATAGAAAAACTATCTCACTAGCATCCTCGTTAAATTGCTTCGCAATATGAATCTGTTAACCTACACTTGTAAAGGCTTCAGTTACAACCACTAGCTGTTAGACACTGATTTTGGGGGACAAATTGGTGAAATGTTCAAAATATCATAATGATTCCACAAAAACCATAATTGTTGGCATCTCATTTAAATTAAAAAAACAGTCGTAATTAGTGTGAATATTTGATGCCATTGAATTCGTATCCTATTGAGGTTACAGATGACCAAAAAATGAAAAAAACACCAAGTGACTGTGAACAAATCGGAAGTCAGTGAGAACTGGGTTAAATTTCTTTTAGTAGAGTTCAAGGACACCGATAATGGGCTTCACACGTTATACCCATGTTGGGGATAAAACACAAGTATTCAGTGAGACGAGCTAACACAAATTGGTCACCCTGTTGCCTTTGAGTGAACGAGTGTGAGTGAGTTGGCTTTAATGTCGCTTTTAACAGTATTCCAGTTATATCGCGGCGTGTCAGCTTAATGTGGGACGAAAGCCCGAAGTGATACAGGTCTCAGACGTTTACCAGTTCGGTGAAACCCACGAGCACGGGTATGGTGCTGACAAACCTAGAAACATAACTGGGGCGAACCAGGATTCGAACCCACAATCATAGGTTTCTGGCATGCCCAAGGGACGCAACTCTGCACAGCGAATCGCGGCGACTTAGACGACTGGGCCACCCGTGCCCCCTTTGAGTGAATGAAGATAGTCACGTAAGTGAAATAAAGAAATAAGTGAGACATTGCTATAATTCAGCTTATGGGCCTGGCAGTCCCCTTACCAAGCATTAATATCAGCACACTCTTCCTGTATTTCAGTCAAGATCCTTCAAAGTCAAGATTCATCCAAATCTCACAGTCAACCAGAACATGCTGGGATGTCATACGTCATATGTAGCACTGTCAGTGTTATGTCAGCTATATATATTCACTGACAAAAGAAACTCGAATACCATAAATGTTTTCTAATTTATCAGTAATTACTCATATTAAAGAGATATTTGATTGGTTTGATGCACAAACAAACATACTGGTACGTTGTATGAACCAAGCTCACCACGTGGTAACACTTGACTGATTTTCAGAGTTGTCATTGATTGGTAGACATTGAAAACATCTCTTCTTAACATGCATACTTCTTTGTCCAAGTCAGCAAGAAAAAGTCAACATTATCCGAAATAGTTACAGTCAATTTCAGTCATTGTTCAGCTATGTGTCTATGACTTTCCAGAAGTTGGTGTACACATATTTATTTCATTAGGTCAGAGGTCAGAGGTCAGAAGGTCCTTATTTATATTTTTATTTTTTTTGTTGCAAAGCAGAAATCAACATCCAAGTGGGGAAGATTTGCTTACTAAATTTATTAAAATATTGTCAATTACAGACTGATCTGCATACACACCCACACTTAATGATTGAATTACCAAGAGCATCGTTTGTTAGAACCCTTTTATCATGTATCAATTGGTATCAGTTTCAATCTAGCAGTTCCATAAACTGGAACTAGTCTGAGAGTTTCAACCCAACGGTTAAAGTACCCATCACACAAGCAGAAAATACTAAATTTGGAAAAAAATGCTGATAAAAATTAGGTATTTCCATTGTTTATTGGAGTTATTTGTTTCATAAAAAGACCAAAGGAATCCACAAAAAAAGGAATGGGAGCCAATATTATCTGTTCATTGTTCATTCAATCCATCCTACATAATAAATGGCACATCTCTAAAAAAAGGCTCCCACAGTTAGATGAAACGAATGATTTTAGCATGCTGCCACACCATTCTGAAATTTTCCAAGAAAGAAACAACATGCTTTATCTGTGGAAGTATCCACTGATACCTTGCTGACTTTGTTCCTATAAACCTGGATAAAGTAAATAAATAACATAAAACCAATCCTGAACCACATCTGAATGAGTGAGTGAGTGAGTTGGGTTGAACGCCGCTTAACGCAGAACAGTATTCCAGTCATAACACAATTAACGTGTCAGAATAATTTCAGAGGAAAGCCCGAAGTGATGCAGGTCTCAGATGTTTACCACTTTGGTGAAACCCACGAGCACGGGTATGGTGAACCTAGAAAAATAATTAGGGTGAACCGGTATTCAAACCCACAATGACAGGTTTCTGGCAGGCCCAAGGGACACAAATGACCTTGATACCCTTCTCTTATACCATGTGCAGTCTCTATATGGTAGAACATGTAGGACTGTCACTGTTCCAACAACCATAACCATGACAACCAGACTATTATCAGAATCTCCAATTTCTGTTGACATTTGATGTAATCACCAGCTTTTCATCTAGGTTCGCCTCACTTTAAAACTCTGTAATCAGCAACAATTCCACTCTTACACAATTCAACTTACAAGATTGTTTAAGAATGGCAATATGATACAATCAAACTACAACTAAAATACTAAGATTATTCCCACCAAAATTAATTTTCAAACAAAATAGATCAAAATCTAATTAATAATTTCTTGTTGTCCAACAGCTGAAGCAATTATCATACAAAACGTCACAACGGAAAGGGAACACAATGCTTTAATATAATGGTCATGTTTATTTTCAGAAGCCCTCGGTTTGTGTGTTGTTGGTGGAACAGTCCGAGGGCTTCTGCAAATGATACTACCCTGAAAAAAGCGGTTGTGTTATTAAAGCAAAAATGGATAGCATACGTCTCAACTCAATAAAGTCAAACAAGAATGTTTGTTTGTAATCTGTTATTCGAACAAAGAACATAACAGAGGTCAGTGCAACTCTGGCCCGGGACCATGTCATTGACTCATTACATTATAATAAGTTTGAACGTGGTCTTCGGATTTTGCAATATCGGTAAAGGGAGACAATTTTGTATGCTATTGAAAACGTCACTTGTTCGCAGTTTGCTGGATAGAAATATTGCAACAATATTGCAATGATTGACAGTGTGATGATTGACAGTGCAATGATTAAAGTTCAGAGTATCAGTTTACTGCCTACACATAGCACTTCGACTTCTGTGATATGTCGATATCTAATCTGTCTTTGATTTCTTCTAAAAATATGCACGGAACATTCTCGACCAACGTATTAGTTGAATCGTGAAGTGCCAGCTCAATCACACGAGTCTACAGAACCGGTCCGATACAGTCAGACATTATGTTTGATTACTTTATATGCAAATCAGCAATGACATCATAGGCCACTTTATAATTCCATCCATTTTAGCTACAATATCTGGATAATCAAACACTTCATCACACAACACAGGGAGGAACACACACACACACGTTGATACAAAATTATCAAAATCAAAAATACATGTCTAGTATTGTGCCATTAGCAGTTTTATATCTAATATAACAAAAAACAACTAGCATGTTATTCAAGCATTAAACTATCCTATTTACATATTAACACGTTATCATTAATGAGAATGTGACACAAAATGAATATAAAAAGTCTTGTTTTGTAAATTTGAGTTACATAAACTTTGAATTTAAATATTCTTTTAATTTCATTCTACTAAATACAGAACCAAGAACCAGAAAGCAGATCTAGCATTTTATATTTATATGGTGGCATAAAGCGTCATGCAATCGCTACTTGATACCGCACATGTGCAATATGCGCAAGTATGGAAGTCATTAGCATCCAACTTATTCATAACACCAGGGACCCACTTGCACAAAACGATCTTAGGGCTAAGACTATCGTAAGCCTATGTTAAAGTACCGTATTCGACGTAATAAGCGCCCAGGGCGCTCTCGAAATTAGAAATAGGTGGCTCTTATTAGAATATTATTTTGGTGAAAAAAACAGAGTTGAAAGATAAATCTTGTGGTTTATGCTGACAGATTGAAGTGTTTATGTACGACAGATATATTTTTCCAGAATTTAATTGCCCATAATTAAGGGTGCATATAACACACGAGTGTGTATTATACGCGAATAAATAAATCTTGTGAACATTGATCAATCGGAAGGGGTGCTAATTGGGATTGTTCACTAGCCAATAAATTAGCAAATGTCGCCATGGGCGCTTATTAGAGCGGGGCCCTTATTAGGTCGAATACGGTAGTTAAAGGAGTTAAGATCATCTTAGAGCTAAGATCAATTTGTGCAAGTGGGCCCAGATGCTTTTTTGAAGGAAATGAGACAACAGAAACAGTCAACTCTGAATCCTCATTGGTGAAATCTTAACAAGCATTATTCACATTGTGAAAGGTGAATGAAACGCTTAGCGATTGCTTGGATTTAGGATGGCAATGTAGAAGAGTGTGTCTATGTAGGATGGCCATGTACAAGGAAGGTGTGTCAATGCTTTGCTATAATATTGCAATGGATGTGATACTCAGTTCCACAAACCTCCTGAAATAAAATTGAACACATCATGGTTAGCAGACATCAGAATGTAATGCAAAAACTACGAAATTATTCTCGGGAAAAGACAAACTAAGGAAAGAACCATATTGAAAGGGAAGAAAGTCTTTGTGAACCATATTTGCTTCAAGAAAGCGTAATGGGATGACAAGCCTTGAGCATGGTACAAGTTGTGAATAAAGAATCCTAATGTCAGATGAACATTATGATGTTAGGGCTGTAATGATACGTGTCACATCGCTTAGACTCCTGTCTGTAAAATATTATGAAGTCATGAGTGTGTAGTGAATTTTAGAACCAAACCTTGCAGAATAGTTACACTATGTCTGGGGATGACAGTTTGGGGTGAGTGAGTGAGTACGGTTTAACGCCGCTTTTAGCAATATTCCAGCAATATCACGGCGGGGGACACCAGAAATTTTGACAGTTTGAATATTGTTTACAAGAAATCTGCGCAAGATGATTTAACTGCATGTGTCTTATAGAAGTTTATGTGTAAATTGTGGCTTTGCCAGTGTTTGAAATGAAAGGGGGTTCTGGGGGTTTGCTCGTGTAGTAATTCGAATCTGGGAACTCCCAAAATCTTTAACATATATAGGGCTATGGTAGGACCTGTGACTTTCATGCTTAATTTCGAACGCCCTATGAGAATATGAAATCAAACAAATCCAACCTTGCTGATGACTGAATTCATTCAATTAACCTACTGATAACATTTGACTCAGTCCATTTCAAACTCATCATTTCTGCTGTTAACAAAATGTTTGTGTCTATTTTGTCATGGTCGCATGGAGATGAACCACCTGTGTTATCAATTTAGAGGTTTCAAACATAATAGAATGAGGTATCAAACCATTACAGGTATCAAATTCCAATCAAAACCTCTAAATTGAACACACTGCAGGTTTATCTCCTTATGAATACATATCCTAAGGAATATATACTCGTGACAGGATAACTTGGGTCATTCATTACAGCCCTAAATGCCACTGAAGAGTTGCCTGCCCTTGATGTTCAGAAAGGTCAAGGACGAAAGACAAGACACATAGAGGGAATATGACACAAAACCTTTTGGGGTAAAAAATGTAACAAATTCATGTTAAACAAGGGGAGAAGCTTCTACATAAAGTCACATGAAACTGTTGCATTCTTGTAGCACGGGATAGAGCTTCACACACTTGAATGTAAACAAATATTTCCACATACATATGCAGCATTGTTGGGATATAGACAGAGATTAAGCAATCAGAACTATGTGTCAATCAATGAAACAGTCCACAGCTACCTGAACTAAACCACCTAACACAAACCTACCAATCCCAGTGCTGTCTGTAACAAGTTGTTTCAGCCAATCAGAATACGTTTTATACTTCATACAGCCAATAGGGCGAGCTGTGACACTTACCACTGACAATTGGGTAAATAAAATGTGCCATCTTTGAAATCATACCATCAGCATTAGGAAATAAATATAAAAATGCACCAAACAGACTACATTACTATGCTCAACCTCTTTAATTCACTGAAGAACATAAACAAGAAAGGAGTTATGAATTTTGATGTAGTTTTTGTAGACATCGATCTACATGCAATGATCGCAAATCCCAATTTAAAAAACAAATAAACAATGAAAAACAGTTTTCTGAAAAAATCAAACAAACATGAACTTGATTCTGTTCACTTTCAAATGTCAAACAACCATTGTGTTAATAATCCTTCATTGGGAACTTCAAACAAACAATTGATATTAATTCTTCCACAATCTCCCTACATACCTCTGAACTATCAGGGTCTATTTCTTCTGAACTCTAAAATATCATAATGTGTAAAAAGCATGTATTTAACTTCAGATTTAGACTATATGATATTACATACTGCACTTATACATATAAAGACCTCTCTTGATTTACAGTGAAAGAATTCATCATCTAGCACAAGCAACATACTGGAAAGAATAATTACAAATATTCACAAAATCTTTTTATCATAAACATACCTACTTTTGGAACAATAATTAACAAGTACTCACAAAATGGACATGTACATATCATACAGAGAAACCTTACAAAATGTACCCTCAATATTCTGGAAACTTGTGGACACAAGTAGTCAGACGACCTACCTCTGGACAGTTACAAATTGGAGAATATATCACTCTGCTAGGGGTTTATGTAGAATTCCAAACAAAGAACATTTGGCAGGTAAATGGGAAAAAATGCAACATTGTTTAAAACTGGGATTCTTTTAAAGTTCTTACTTTCTTAATTTCAAAAATATTTCACATCAAAAACCCTTCCTCTTGGTGTGACCTGTTATCAGTAAATTGAAAGGCACCTTGACTTAGTCACCAAATAAGTTATCAATGGGTAATGCTTAACTCCCATTTAGGACTTTTTACTGAATTTACTGCAGATTTGGGGTTGCAAAATATAATTCCAGATAAATCCCTGTTGACATGTATACAAAGGGAGAGTACTCTGCATTTTTGGTGTGTGTGGCAATGTCCAAATTAAAGGCATTACACAGTATACCAAAAAAATCAACACTGATATATTCCAAAATATCCTGTATGACACAACCTATTTAGCATTAGCACTGAAATTGTTCTTAAACTGTAAAAAGAAAGACAAAAAAGAATTCATTTATCATTTTGCGCACATACAAATTGGTATCTTTCCTTTCTCCAAAGCTGCACATTCACCAAGTTCTAGATGCTACCATGCACTTGTCTACACAATGCTATGACTACCTACTTGGTGGGGCTTGATGCCATCAACATGATGCTATTAACGGCTATAAACATGCTTTGCGGCAGGTGACCAGGTCATGAGGACACTTACATGATTGATGGGGTTCTTTTTCGTTCTTGTCACCGACGCCTCAAACTCTGGTCGCAATGTTTCCTGAAACATCACAATAACATGCATTTAAGTTAATGCCAGGGTATGAAACTCCCCAAAATTTCAGCCAGACCACAGGACTGGCTAGCTGAAATACTTGCCAGCCCTGACCAAAACCTGCCTGCCCACTATAATCATATGTTTCTCAGGATAAGCTAACGGGGTTTCTTTTTGGTTACATTTTATCATTCATCTTTACATGTGAATTAATGCTTATCATTGGGAAATATTTTGAATATTTTCACATATGAAATATAACCCGACCGTCGGGCAGGGGGATTTGAAAATCTGGCAGCCCGAGTTGAAATCAACCCGTCTCGGACGGTCGGGCAGGCAGGTATTTCGAACACTGTTAATGCAGCATTAGAAATTGGCACTAGTCCTATAGTCCCTGCCAAACTGCCCAATGGTAAAGGTATCATAAGGACTAGTAAAAATTTGCCTTTTGTAAGGGTTTTGCTCTATGTTGGCATTATAAGGACTAGTGGACGAAAACTGTTAGTTTCTAACCCTGGTTAATGTCAAGTTAATGTCTAGACATTGTCACATTCTCAAATGCTCAAATTGCACAAATAAAGCCAAACTTAATGTGGATATTAATTTATGCATGATTGAAACATATGTGTCGTTAAACAATGGCGGTCTATCAGCTGGTGCTTAACCATCAATCTGAAAATAATCGAGTCTGAAGCAGACAAAACTGAAAACATGGGCAACAGTCTACTCCATCTGGTCTATACATGCTGGAGGACCAAGTCATCAAGTCTGACCACCTTGTTACCAAGTAGTTGGTTCTTACAACAAATCTGAGATACCTGGCACAAAAACTGACATGGCAACCCAATGAAAACTAATCACAATCCACGATTACTTCATGTTTCCATCTGCTTTGGTTTGTATAATGCTTATTACTGCACATACCAGCTATATGATGGCTTTCTGTAAAATATTGAGATAGGACAATCCAGTGATTGATATAGTGAGCATTGATCCGTGTTGTCGAGATACGATGACACGCAAGCCACACAGCCTGACCACCTGAGCCATTGTGTTGCCTCGTGTAACCAGCCAAGGTTGCTGGGGACCTTTTCTAACCTGGAATCTCCATGGGGAGGTTACTTCATGTGCAAATGCTGACTGGGAATGTTCTGTTTCCTTGAGGACGGGTGGCCCAGTCGTCTAGGGCGCCACGATTTGCTATGCAGAGTTGCGTCCCTTGGCCACGCCAGAAACCTACGAATATGGGTTTGAATCCTGGTTCGCCCCAATTATGTTTCTAGGTTTGTCAGTACCATACCCTTGCTCATGGGTTTCACTGAAGTTTTAAATGTCTAAGACTTCGGGCTTTCGTCCCACATTAAGCTGACACGCCGTGATATAACTGGAATACTGTTAAAAGCGGCGTTAAACCCAACTCACTCACACTGTTTCTTGTACCGACATATCACCTAAAGATTTAACTGCCTCTGCCTCAGGTCATTGGTTTGATGCCTTTCAGCGTCATACCAAAAGGCATTACAAGATACTTGACCTGGCATTTGGCATTAAGGGGTTAAAACAAGGACTGGTTGGCTCGGAGTCAGTATACTGTGTCTGAGTGGGGTATCCATGTTAACTGCAGCATGGTATCTCAGTGGCTGGCACTATAAAACCAGATTAAGTCTGGACAAGTTCTAACAGTCGCAGATACACACACACACACATCAATGCACGTAGCTATTTCAGTGCCATAATCATGAACACGACACTAAAACCATTTTCACCTAACCTCAATTCTTAATTTCAAACACTGTCAACCAATAAACATTGAAAAGACAAGTAACACTTGAAAGTAAAACTAACCTCCTCTTCAAAATCAGCAACATCCCAATCATATTCAATCTCAGCTTGACGTCGTTTCCACATTTCAGCAAAGAATGTAGCTGGAAGCCAATGATTAAACACATGAGGCATGGTGTCTCACTCAAAAGATTTCCCTCCATGTCACCATACTCAGGACAACATCTTTACCAGTCCAACTACAAGTTCATTGATAACACTCTTCTGATTCGTTAATTTGTTTACTATATCATGGCCAAGTCAATTCTCATTCAGGAGAGGGGCGGTCGGGTAGCCTAGTGGTTAAAGCATTCGCTCTTCACGCCGAAGACCCGGGTTCGATTCCCGACATGGCTACAATGTGTGAAGCCCATTTCTGGTGTCCCCCGCCCTGATATTGCTGGAATATTGCTAAAAGCGGTGTAAAACCATCCTCACTCACTCACTCATTCAGGAGAGTCATATTTTTTTAAAGATTATTTCAAGATCATGACCGAGAAATATTATGTCCTAAGTTTGTTTGTTTCTGTTTTTGTTTATCACTGCACTCAGCAATATTTCAGATATATGATATCAGTCTGTAAATAATCAAATCTGGACCAGACAATCCAGTGATTGACCTCACGAGCATCGATCTATACAATTGGGATACGATGACATGCATCAACCAAGTCAGCGAGCCTGACCACCCGATCCCATTAGTCGCCTCTTACGACAAGCAAAGTCGCTTTTTACTGCAAGCATGGGTTGCTGAAGACCTATTCTCCCCAAGAAAGTAACAGGGGTTCCAAGCTAATGATAAGAGGGAAGGAGATAGTGACGCACTTCGGAGACTAAGTTATTGGTGTGGAATAGATCTGGGGGTGTTCATCATTACAGAATGGAGATGTAATACCTGGAACATCAAGGATGGGTAATTCTAATCTTTTTGTCTTTTTTTGAAACATGAAACACATCTTCGCAATCAAAGCTCAAACTTACAATTAGGATATAGGATCACAAAGTTTTATGAACAAGTATGTAAAACTTCTTTGTCCTGGGGCGCAAAGAATACATGTTGATGGATGAAGCTTGTTTGTGTATCTAGAAACAACAAATGAACCTACCCCACAGAGCCATAAACACAGCGAACGCCACCGTGGCAGGGTTGTCGAACAGATACGTGACTTGTGAGTACAGACAACTTCGCTTGAGTTTCCAGAAAGAGCATCTCTTGTCACACAGAGGACACATGGTGACGTTGCCAGCCTCACTCACTTGACAAATCTCCTGACTGAAAACAGATACAACAGCAGGGATAGAAATGGCTTCGTACCTCAGCGCACTCATGGAATATTAGTGAGGCAACAAGAATGTACTCCTCACACATCTTTGAACTCTTATTTTATCATGAGGAAGCTAGATAATAAGCAGCTATAATTCGGAAAGTTTGCAACCATAAGTCCCGTTTCCATGTTTGTTTCCACTTGTGTGAAGTATGCATAATATTGTTAAAATAAAAGATAATTTCTAAGTGTGCCATTCAGGCATCAGGAATATATTTTAACTGTGCCATTGGCACTCTAAGGCAAGGAATTTTTAACATTAACACACGCATCTCACGCAGATGGCACCTGGCCATATTGCCAGCCTCAGATCTTGACAAATATTGTGAAAAATAGATACAACAGTCTCTGTGGTTGACTCGGCTGATTCCGCTACCTACATCATAGCACAGGCAGCAATGGAGTAGCCATGCTGCTTGAATACACTAAACCATGTAACTCCAGAGACTGCCAAAGATGAGGGTCATTTGGGAAAACGTATTCAGTGCTTAACACATAGGTGTACTCTTTTGCTGTTTAAACACAAAAGCAAATAGAACAATTTAAACAGTAATATTAAGTTCAAGACAGTCACCACTTCATGTTCTATCAGGCGATAGCCACGTCACTAGTTCCATCATGGGTTCCTGTCGGAGTCAAGCCAGGTGACAAAACAGCATTATTATTATTATTATCATTATTTTTAGATTTTACAGACGAAAACAAATTTAGCAAAGAAAATTTGGTCGACCCCAGCACAGTCACCCTGGCACGCAGCCCAGACAGCGAATGGAACTTGTCCAGGAAGCGCTAACTAGTCGAACACTGAACAAGAACTTTTCAGAGATTATTATTATCATCATCATCATCATCATCATCATCATTATTATTATTATTGTCGCAACACTTACCTGGACACATCATCCCAGAGAGTTCCAAGGCCAAAGAAGAAAGCAATAAGGCCAACAATGGCCGACGGTATCAACATGCTGGTGTAGTAGCCCAGCCAACTGAAGTAGATGCCGATCTTCTCACCAAAGTAGCGCCTGACAAGAGCACAACATTTACACTGTATTCAAAATGTGAGATACAAAGTCAAACAGATTTTGCAGTCCGAAGATTAAAATTAACACCTCTAGAACCAAAGGACCCCTTCACTTATTAGACATTGAATTTTTGGACACTTATATATTAGGCAGGGAAACAAAATATGAATCTCTGAAACCTGCACTGAAAGCAGCCTTGGATGCTTTGTGTGTGCTTTTAGTGTATGATTGTTTTAACATTTGGAGGTCTTTGAAGCAGAAGACTGACAAAAGCCTTCATACAGGTCTATATCACTTTAAAGAAGGGGGCATGGGTGGCCCAGTCGTCTAAGGCGCTGCATTGAGCTGTGCAGAGTTGCGTCCCTTGGGCACACCAGAAACCTATGATTGTGGGTTCGAATCCCAGTTCGCCCCGATTATGTTTGTAGGTTTGTCAGTACCACACCCGTGCTCGTGGGTTTCACCGAAGTGGTAAACGTCTGAGACCTGCATCACTTCGGGCTTTCCTCCCACATTAAGCTGACACGCCGCGATATAACTGGAATACTGTGAAAAGCGGCATTAAACCCAACTCACTCACTAACACACTTTAAAGAAAACTAACAGTACCAAAATTAGGCAGGAAGTTACTTTGTAGAAGAGAACACACACAAGAATGACTTAAAACCTGTTTAGCTTAATGCATATACATGAGAGGGAGAATACATGGTGAAGAGCACCAACCTGATGTAATCCAGGGGCTGGAACTTGTACCACATCCACGGCTTGGCCCAGACCTCATACAGAAGCTGAAACAGAGCATCTCTTGATGATTACACAACAGGTACTGAAGCTCACCCTCCAACTTTCCTGTGCTCTATACTCTTCAGAGTCTTCAGCGACTTGTAAAACTTCCTGATTACTTCCATGTGGATATTGTTCTTATGTTTCAATTAATAAATTTTTACATATTTCTTATATACTTGTATGTATCTATATGAGTCTAGAAAGGTTAGAACATGTTTGGTTAAAATAAAGAAAAAAGTAAAATTCTGTACAGTGACGTACCGTATTCGACATAATAAGCGCCCAGGGCGCTCTCAAAATTAGAAATAGGGGGCTCTTATTAGAATGTTATTTTGGTGAAAAATACAGAGTTGAAAGATAAATTTCGTGGTTTATGCTGACAGCCTGAAATGTTTATGTACGACAGATATATTTTTCCAGAATTAAATGCCCATAATTAAGGGTGCATATAACACACGAGTGTGTATTATACGCGAATAAATAAATCTTGTGAACATTGATCAATCGGAAGGGGTGCTAATTGGGATTGTTCACTACCCAATAAATTAGCAAATGTCGCCATGGGCGCTTATAAGAGCGGGGCGCTTATTACGTGGAATACGGTATGTTTTATTCAGTGTTTTACTTACGTGTCTGTCATTAGCCTTGCCTCTTGTCAGTAGTGAGTGTTCACTCTCATAGTTGCCCTGAAGAACATGCACAATCAGTGAGTGAGGGAATAGTGTCCTACATGGCAGTCGGTAGTACCCCAGTTATATCAATTTGTTTCTTTAGTTTGTTGTTTAACACCACACTCAGCAATATTCCAGCTATATGACGGCGGTCTGTAAATAACTGAGTCTGGACCACACAATCCAGTGATTGTCATCATGAGCATCGAACCACGCAATTGGGATACAATGACATGCATCAACAGAGTCAGCGAGCCTGACCACCCGATCCTGTTAGTCACCTGTTACAACAAGCATAATCGTCACTTATGGCAAGCATGGGTTGCTGAAGACCTATTCTTTACCTGGATCTTCATGGTCCAGTCGTATCAAGACTGGCAGTAAGTTAAGTAGTCTGGTGTCGGGTTTCATGGTCAATAATTAGGAGCAGTAATCCACACTGCCAGGGTTACAATGACAGATTACAATTCTGTGTCTGGTGATCACTCATCCAAGTACTCTTCACACCCAGGCTCAATACCCATGCTTTGAACTGTATTCCAGTTATATCACGGTGTGTCAGCTTTATGTGGGAGGTAAGCCCGAAGTGATGCAGGTCTTAGACGTTTACCACTTCGGTGAAACAAACCTAGAAAAATAATTGGGCCAAACCGGGATACGAATCTACAATCATAGGTTTCTGTCATGACAAAGGGACGCAACTCTGCACAGCAAATTGCGTCGCCTTAGCCAACTGGGCCACCCATGCTCCAATTCCCATGTATACCAGGTACAGTGTGTCTAGTGTTGCCAGATGTGACATTGCTGGAATATTGCTAAAAGCGCCATGAAACCACTCACGCCGTCGTGTTACACACAACAGCTAGTGGTAACACTGTCCAAATATTCATATTTAGTTATCCTTTTCTGAAATAGCTTGCACTTTAGATGTCTTAGGACAACTCGCCAGAAACTTAACTGTGATTTTAAAGTGGACCAAATACATAATAATTTCCTAATTCATCTGAATGTCAATGTTTGCTGGATTTTATAGCTTGATCAGAAACTTGTTGCAGAACCAGTGAACCTCCCTGCTGTATACATACCTCATGCAAAGGGTAAGCTGCTACATAGGAATTTGTGCTCAGCATCTTCTTGATTCCTGACATAGAGAAATAAATTAAAGATAGTTTTCTCTCAATGGCCATGACTTGTGATAAACTGCAACAACATCAAGTTTACTGAATGAATTCTGAATAATGTCAATAAAGAATATTTGATACCACCAGATTCAGAACTGTGTTAAACACATTTTAATTAAAGTTATGTTAATGATTCTTGTTGTTTGTGGGAGTTGGCCCACTGGTTGGTGTCTTTGTTACTTCCCATACTAGGTTACCTCATGGAACATGTGAAAAATGGCATAACATGGCTGCAACTTTACAGCAACAAAAACAGCATAACCACCATCACAATCATCATCCCATTATCACCACCCACATCATCATCACCACCACCACCATCATCATCATCACCACCATCATCATCACCACCATCATCATCACCACCATCATCACCACCACCACCACCACCACCATCACCACCATCATCACCACCACCACCATCATCATCATCATCACCACCATCATCATTACCACCATCACCACCACCATCATCATCGCCACCATCATCATCACCACCACCACCATCATCATCATCACCATCATCATCATCCCCATCACAATCATCATCATCATCATCATCACAATCATCATCCCATCATCACCACCATCATCATCATCATCATCATCATCATCATCATAATCATCACCACCCCTAACATTCTCATCATCGACCACCTCCGTGATCGAGTGGTAGAGCATCCGTCCGGAGAGCGGAAGGTTGGGGGGTCGATCCCTGGCCACGTCATACTTGTTCTTATATTTAACAGTCCGGACTAGTACAAGCAGCCACACACCCACATGCATGCACGTCACTATATAAGTGCAATAATCTTAAACGCGATGTTAAACCCCATTTCACCTCACCTCACCTCATCATCATCATCATCACCCCCATCATCCTCATCATCATGAACATCATCATCATCCTTACCAAACTTGTTCTTCCTCTTGTCTCCCAAGTCTTCATACACACATCTTAACAGTATCTGGTACACGATCAGACTGCGTTGTGCTGTGTTGAAAAAGGTGTCCTTGTCTTTGATGATGAACCTGAAAGTATACATGACTCACTGCATGCATACAGCTCGACAAAACAGGGTGAACAACGTCACTGTTCAACAAGGACGTTGATCAGGTCCTACATTGTTCTTTTGGGTTGCTACATTCAGAGAGTTGGGATATATATTGTGTGGTTTCGGAATCACACCATTAGATCAGCATGCACAAGGTAAAGGATCATCATCATAAGTTTCAGCAGGAACAATACTTGCCTTCCTTAGCCATTCTCTAGTATACATTGGAAGAACAGTCAAATATCTTTTTGAAGAGTTATGTTAATAACATCAGATTGATTGAGCTTTGATGATTGTTACTATCATATTTTTATACAAGAACAGCCTGACATGCTGGTATATTCTTACACTGGTACACCTCTATGAAGTATGTGACTTATAAGTGAGGTTCATGCATGTAGTATTGCAATACAGGATATACAAGGGATAATTTGACAGCTTTTATTAAGGATTGAATGAAGAAGCCATGCACAATTTTGCCTCCTGCATGCTTTCAGATATCATGGATATTGTCACAGAACGGAAAAATCTTATGGATATTGTCACAGAATGGAAAGGTCTGTTGGATACTGTCACAGAACTGAAAGGTCTGATGGATATTGTCACGGAACTGAAAGGTCTGCTGGATATTGTCACAGAACTGAAAGGAACGTTGGATATTGTCATAGAACAGAAAGGACTGTTGGATATTGTCATAGAACAGAAAGGACTGTTGGATATTGTTATAGAGCGGAAAAGTCTGTTGGATACTGTCACAGAACTGAAAGGTCTGTTGGATATTGTCACAGAACTGAAAGGTCTATTGGATATTGTCACAGAACTGAAAGGTCTGTTGGATATTGTCACAGAACTGAAAGGTCTGTTGGATATTGTCACAGAACTGAAAGGTCTGTTGGATATTGTCACAGAACTGAAAGGTCTGTTGGATACTGTCACAGAACTGAAAGGTCTGTTGGATACTGTCACAGAACTGAAAGGTCTGTTGGATATTGTCATAGAACAGAAAGGACTGTTGGATATTGTCACAGAACTGAAAGGTCTGTTGGATATTGTCACAGAACTGAAAGGTCTGTTGGATATTGTCACAGAACTGAGAGGTCTGTTGGAAATTGTCACAGAACTGAAAGGTCTGTTGGATATTGTCACAGAACTGAAAGGTCTGTTGGATACTGTCACAGAACTGAAAGGTCTGTTGGATATTGTCATAGAACAGAAAGGATTGTTGGATATTGTCACAGAACTGAAAGGTCTGTTGGATACTGTCACAGAACAGAAAGGTCTAATGGATACTATCACAGAATGGAAACGTCTGATGGATATTGTCACAGAACGGAAAGGTTAGATGGATACTGTCACAGAACAGAAAGGTCAGATGGATATTGTCACAGATCGGAAAGGTCTCTGGGGTACTGTTACGGAATGTAAAAGAGCTGATATATTCTGTCACAGAAAGATTCTGTAATGGAGAAATCGTGAGAATCTGTTGAGGGGATTGTTGATTCTACTTCCAGAATCAACAGATTTGAGCATGTTGAGTGATTTCTCAATAATAGTGTGACATCATCATATGGCTTAGTATCTGTGATACATCTGAAAATGAATGAGATTTGCATATAACCATACTTCTATTAGGAAACATAAACAGAAAGAAACATGTTAGACGGACATTGAAACATTCATGCAAACAACATCCACAGAGATTTTACCACATCCACTTAGGACCATCCAGGGATTTAACCACATCCATATAGGACCATCCAGGGATTTAACCACATCCACTTAGGACCATCCAGGGATTTAACCACATCCATATAGGACAATCGAGGGATTTAACCACATCCACTTAGGACCATCCAGGGATTTAACCACATCCATATAGGACAATCGAGGGATTTAACCACATCCACTTAGGACCATCCAGGGATTTAACCACATCCATATAGGACAATCGAGGGATTTAACCACATCCACTTAGGACCATCCAGGGATTTAAACACATCCACTTAATTAGGACGATCCAGGGATTTAACCACATCAACATAGGACAATCCAGGGATTTAACCACATCCACATAGGATGATCCAGGTATTTAACCACAGCCTCATAGGACGATCCAGGGATTTTACCGATCCACATAGGACGATCCAGGGATTTTACCACATCAACATGGGACAATCCAGGGATTTTACCACATCCATATAGGACGATCCAGGGATTTTACCATATCAACATAGGACAATCCAGGGATTTTACCGATCCACATAGGATGATCCTGGGTTAGTTCACAGGAAGGATCTCAGGGAGTCAGCATCAGTAGAGGCATCACAGATTTAATTGTACAATTCAGAAAATATGGAATGTGTGTGTCACAACCCTACAAAATTTCAAAATTTTCTGTACACTAAATAACCTGTTTGGATTTAATAATGACATAAACACTGGTTTTGTGTCTAATTTTTTTAAGAGGTTGCAATTTCAAAATATACTATTCAAAAGAAGTTAAGGAACACCATTTTTTGTTCATATGATTGAAGGTAATCTCTAATGGCTGGTGGGTACTGCAACACAGCCTTCCAATTGTGGGTGTTCCTTAACTTGTTTTGAGTAGTATACAACATACAACATCACAAATTTATTCTGTAACTGCAACACACACATCCAATTTCTCATCCTGAGTGTATCGATAAGGAAAAATCAGAATTTACTTTCTTCAGTTATTTTCTGGCACTTTAAGAATCATGAAAATATGAATATATATAGTCACCGCCAAATGAAACGCGAACCATAGAAACATAGAGAGAAGTATGTACGTCATGAGATGTTTCTAATGTGTACCACTTAATGACAAAACTAACAATGAGTCAAGTTTTACCACAGTGTCTGTATTCTTATCGCAATATGCTGCTCATCATTTCCAAACTATAATCCTGCACGAGACAAATGAGACATCTTGCATCTTGCATCTTGAGACATGGATCTATGACGTATGTGATACGTTTATGAGCATCGGTTCCAACGACATAACAGCTTGTTCGTTTGTGCATCAAACCAATCAAACATCTCTTGATTATGAGTAATTCTTCCTATATTAGCCAACATGTTTGGTATTTGCGTTTCTTTTGTCGGTGGGTACATATACAAAGGCAATTATCAGTATCGACACACTCAGGGACTGGTTCACATCAGGTCTGGGAAGGTTCTAACACTAACCAAGTTGACCATGCAACCATGCACACTCCGGCGCAGTGGTGACTCAGCATAACACCACTGCCACAGCCTAATTTGCATATCACTTGACCGGACTTTTCTCTTGTTTGTAAACAATCGCGCTTTTTCAGAAATCAGTACAGAACGGACTAATGCAAGTATTTTGGGGCGCTTAACATATTGTTTTGCATAATTATATAGATATGCTACTACCACTGCGACAGTGAATTTCATGACAATATATATTTATACATCAAAGTGACCGTATTGCTAGCTCTCCGTTTGGCTTCGATGACAGCACGTGGAGCCGTACAAACAATGTAAACAAAGGATAACTACCCAAAAACAAATAGATTTTCACGTATTAGGATACTTTCTTAATGAACCGTAACCATTCTTTGACATTTGTTTATGAAAATGTGTAGACTTGTCAAACATGAAACGGATGAAAAGCATATTCAATAACTTGAATGGACTGTGAAAGATGTGACGAATCGTCACATGTCGCTGGCCTGTGGCAGAGGTACTATGCTGGCTGGCTGCCGGTCGCATAGAACTCAGGGTAGGAGAGTGGCAACCATGCAGACGGTGTTTAAGACATACAAACGTGCTAAGGACATGTGATGAGCATAGTGAAGACTTGTTGGAAAATCACCTACCCAATCAACCCTGAATCAATTCATAGCCTGACCTTAGATAACTGAATCATGCCAGTCACCTACCGGTCACCAAGAAAAACCTCCTCTTAAATTTTTTACGAAATATATCCGAATTTTGAGACTTATAAATAAAACATGACGTCGTCATATTTATGATCAAACACATTTGGGCAATAATTTGTGCCCTAGATAAGTTTCAAGGTGATGCAATATGAATATGGTTTAGGATAAATAATGTTGGTTTTCAAATTTTAAATAGTATTTTTTTAAATTGATCAGGCTGTCTCGTATATTTGGTGTTGATAGGGTAATTTTCACAACAAATCTAGGACATCTAGGACATACAGAATAAAAGAAAAGTGTTCTTACATCCCTCTGTTCAATGGCACGGAGAAAGAATGGAATAAAGAAGTGGTGGAAACATATCTTCAAAACAATTCGCGAACAAAATACATACAAAGAAAAGTGGTGAATATGGTGATATATTAAAATACATATATTTTTTAATTTCAGGGTTTAAAATATTAAATGGAAGTGGCATGAAAATGCTGAGTAATATTTTGTCATCTGTTATTATAAAGCTTGGGTTTAATTTGACATGTCATGTAAGTAAATCCAATAAGTAATCATCAAGTTATTATTAAAGAAATTCTTTCTGACTACACTCAATTGTTTCTTCTTGATGAGAGAGTTCTGTGCAAGTCAGACAAGAAGAGGTGGATCATATACCATATTTGTAGAAAGAAGATTTGTTCCAAATATCATTGTGAGAGAACCTGTGTGACTACGACTGAATTAAAATGTTGCAAGAATCTGAAAAAAGTTGCAAGAGTTGTTGAACTGTATCAATAGGCACCATTGCATTTTACTTTGTACAGTATGCTACTTACAACGCTTTGGGATCCAATTAGATCACTTCCATATTTACATGTTTAATGCATATCTAGTACATTAATAATTTAATACCATTTAATTCTAAAATTTTAGAATAATATTAATATCTATAATAAGCCTATACTTTAAAGCAAATGTTAATTTAACAATTTGACAAGGAAAAAATGTAATTAAAAAAGAAACATTTTGAAAATGATGAGAATAGCTATCACCAACATGCCTTGAAGGAATTAACAGTCAAAGGGAGGTAATCGCAACATGAGTTGTCTCCCCTTTGACCAGTATTCAGGAAGTTGTTCTAAATTACTCACTGATCGACTCTTTCTCTGGAGAAGGCAGCAGTGAAATAATCGGGCACTTCAGGCAGCAGATCAGGGTCAATGTCAAATGGTGTCGGACATTTTGACCAGCAAGTTGTAATTGTGTCTAACATGTCATTTTCCTGTGAAATAAATACAAAATATAATTAAATTGCATTTTGGGGGGTTAAAATATGAAATAAAGCAATGTGCTGACAGCTGATTGCTGGAAATATTTCAAGCATACTTTGCATGTATCGTGAGTGCCAAGTCCATGTTTGAAACTATCATGCTTACATTATTAACTGGACTGATAAAAATAACTTGAAGAAAAACATTAGCCAATCAGCCAATATACAAAATAGATGCTGGATAAAATAATTGGTTATCATAGTGGGAGAAATAATGTTGTTCAATTACAGATATAACTACTCAGGGTGCCGACAAATCCATGCAAAGATAACATATTTCAGAAGGAAAGTGGGAGAAAATGAAAACCCCGAAACATGTATGGATATCACAATATCTCATACTTCAAACAATTACACCTCACTGAAGAAAATATTTTTAACAAGCAAAAGATACTGTTCAGATCTTGATATTATGTGCTGTTTCTGAAACATCATGCATTGAACACTGACTTCAAAATTACGACACAAAGCATTTACACTTTCCATGCAAAGCATCGTCAAAGTTTAAGTTCAAATTTAACGATTTTGAATACTCATACAAAGACAACATACAAAGCACTTTCAACTGAAAATGTCTAAAAAGGAAACAAGCATATCCTCGACAAAACAACCCTTGAACCATGTTAGTATAAACAAAACAAAAGTTGTTAAGACCTCAAATTAGACCTTTGTATTTCTGGACAACATCCATTAGAGCAACAAAGACTTTGATATATTTAGTATTCATACAACATCACCAAAGCCACATAAATCCATCACATGTTCATAATTTCTAAAGGCATCATCCCATTTCAAAAGGAAACATATTTTTTTCGGCATATGTGTCCAAGATGGCTATACACTACCTATCCTTTGAACTCAGCATTTTTAGGCCAATAGAATTTATTCCTTACATATGGGCTGTTCAGGTTAGGCTCACGTGACCAATAGGATCAGACTCAGACATGTGACTAGTACTTAAATAAAATGATGGACCACATGATACCGAGAGCCAAACATTTCACTTGAAGGGAGGAGTCAAATGGACTTAATATATATACTGGATTTGTTAATTCCCTTAGTTGATTGAACTCATCTCCTTGACGTAACAAATGTCAAGTCTTAACATATCATATTGGATCTTTACTATCCAGACATCACAGCACAGTGTATGATCCCATCTCTATGGGTGATCTCAGTGGATACAAGTACTGTGTCAATATCAACATTCTTCCTGTCCAAAAGCCATGCATTCTAAATAGTAGTACTTCTGTTATGATTCAAGAGTACTACCACTCTACAGATTCACTTGCACCGACAGCACCAGCAGTATTCCACCTCAACCAAATGCAGACCTCATCCCTTCTACCACCGCTAGTGCTACATCTACAGCTAGATGATAGAGGACTGGTTCAAGCTCCCTGCTATCACTGTTCTTCCCTGGCCTATGCATAATTCACCCCACTTGTTGTTGTGTCCTGTATTTGGGGCTCTACAGTCAAAAACTATCTTTTATTTTCACTAGTCTGCCTTCTACCTAATGGTGGAGGTGACAGCTAACAACATGATGTCACTGTTCCTGCCCGAATTTATTAGTCTAGCAGACTGATGTTGATTTGGTCCCTGGTGTTTACACTACACCATTCGGAAGTGTTTTAAGAATAACATGAGGTGAGGTGAAATTGGGTTTAACGTCGCGTCCAAGATTATTGCACTTATATAGCGACGTGCATGCACGTGTGTGTGTGTGTGTCTGCTTGTACTAGTCCGGACTGATGCCAATTTATAGTGCTAGCTCACTGAGATACCATGCCACAGTTTAACATGAATACCCCACTCAGACACAGTATACTGACTCCTAGCCGACCAGTCCTTGTTTTAGCGCCTTAATGTCGAGCGCCAGACAGGGTAACAACAAGTACCATCTTTTAACGTCTTTTGGTATGACGCGGCCGGGGATTGAACCCCGGACCTTCCGCTCTCCGGGCGGACGCTCTACCACTGGACCACGGAGGCGGCCAAGAATAACATGAAGCCACATTGTTACATGTTTTGGGCTTATGGAACTGATCAACTGGAGGCAACAGTTCCAATACAATTTTTTTTTAAATTGCTATTTATTTGCATGATCACTCTAATTTTGATGGATTAGAAATATATACCTTAAAACATACTAAGAAATTTAAACGGTAACCTTTTACATAACAATTTTTCACATTGTATATATATATTGTATATAAACATCAGAAGTTCTTTTTTCCCACTTAACCTACCCAAATAACTGAATGTCAAATATAATATTTTTAAAATGAAACATATTTATTTTAGCTCTCCAAGTTGGTCATCAAACATTTGTAAATCATAACCTCAAACAAATTGTGACCTAAAACATAAATTTTGCTGTTTTAAGTGAAGTATGTGATACAATGTTACCTTGATAAAAGAAATAGCTTTGCCTTCTATGGCTTTCTGTGACAGTAACTTGGATCCAACGAACATACTGTGAGCCATTCTCTATCTAATTCATGAACAGCACAAAGCAGTCAAGTCTGATTTCCAACATGGCCCCCACTCAAACATCCCCCTTGTAAATTTGTGTATAATTAATACTGACTTCACATAAACCAAATACACATTCATTAATAAATGTTAAATAAACCTAAAGTTATTTGCATATCTGCATCCAATCAAAGCAAACATCAACAAATACAACCAATACACCATATCATAACAGGTGTCCTGCACAATGTCTGGAAGGAACATCCTCAAGAAATACACACCTTCATAATGGCAATGTTAAAAATACTACTACTGTCATTCTCTTAATACTTGACATTTCCAAAATCTGGTCATGTTTAACTGAAACAAACTTCTTCAAGAGGCTTTTAGAAGTTGGAGAACTAAGTAAGGACAAGATATATGAATGAACAACTTCTTTATTACAATTCGAGTGACGTTTCGGTGTAGGTTCTTACACCGTTATCAAGAAAGTGATGCACAGGGTATGGTTGACAAGCATAGATACAGGTAGGAGGCAGTGTTTACAGTTGAGTAGGTTTCTCCACTCCAGTATAACTACATCCCATTCTACTCAGCTGTATACACTGCAATATGCATCTAACTGGTCTCAATGGTCTCGCAGAATAAAATTTTGTATGCACATTCATTTTTTTTTATCAACACTCAATGATGTTTAGAATATTTAGGCTCAGTCAACTTTCTTAAATAAGTTGGTATGTCCCGTATCAAGTGAATGACAGCAGCAAATCTGTTACAACGAACTGAAGGAACAAGAACAAGAACAGTGAAGGAACAAAATGCATGTCGCCTGCACACTAAACTAATGAACCATGCCAATGTCCAATGCCACCGTTTTCCATAGTCTTTTAAGCGCAATGATATATCTCATTGTGATCCATAACGTATATATGGTACATCTACATTAGCCAGCGATCCTGACATGACATTTAACCATTTCAACCCCAACCATCCCATGGGATGACATCAACATGCATGACAATTTACTCGGCTTCTACAGCCTTTCGCTATGTGAAATCCACATCTATATGCAATATACATGGGCAGTGACGACTGGACATTGACAGCTACTTACGGTGTCATCGTAGTCCCCCTGGTCCTGTTGGCGAGTACATGCGGTGGGCAATTAATGTCACTGAAGAATCGTGACTACATAAAACTAACATTCTACCAGTTCAGAAAGAAACCTGGTCCTCAGGACTCGTGTGCACAAAATGATCTTAGCGTTAGTCTGCCTACAAGTTAATAACAAAGCTACACCATTGCCTGATATAGCTAGAAAATGAAGTTATTTCTAGTTTTAAGAGGTATATGTGAGTAGATAATAGATTTTGACAGATAAATAAACTCATCAAATTTAATGGTAATGAAAACTAACTAAAAGGAAGTAAACTTTTATTTCTAAAATAGAAATATGTTAATGCTTTCAAAATGGCCACAAAATGATTAAAATATTAGTCTACCAGAAAGTGTAAATTAAATGATAATCAAATGACAGTTGAATCTCTCAACAACCTGACAGCTTCACGGTCCAAGTTGTCATCATCATCATCATCATCATCATCATCATCATCATCATGACAACAACCTGACAGCTTTACGGCCCAAGTTGTCATCATCATCATCATCATCATCATCATCATGACAACATCATTACCTGCAATGGCATCTTCATACTCATGATCTCAGCATATCTCGTCAAAACCTCCCAAGGTGCATGGACTTTGACAAAATACAGGTTATCCTCCTTGAGAAGCTGTAAATAATAATATAATAATGATGTAATAATGATGTAATAATAATATGGAATAATATCAAACAAAACACCTCAGAGTTGCAAATTTGAGTATAACCAATTATTAAAAATTGTTACGTTAAACATAAAGGTAATAACATGCCCATTCACAAACACATTACCAGTTAAATGAAATAAACTCCTGTATGTTACTATCATGATCGATGGACAAGGGCAGCATGCTTTAAGGAGGTACTGGTACAGCGTTAACATGCCTAAGATGATTGCAAGGTGCAGAGAATGGTTATCTTAAACAGTTATCTCAATAAACAATTACCATCGACAACCATGCAATGAGAACTACTGGTTTATATACCGGGTATCTTAACAATTAAACACCAGGGCCCCGTTCCACAAAGCGATCTTAGAGCTACGATTATCGTAGGCCAGTGTTAAAGTTTGGGAGTTACGATCACCTTAGCGCTAAGATGGAGTGGGGCCCAGTATGACACGAAGCCATCTCATCAATGATTGGTATACAGAATGCAGGTTAAAGGTGTGTGGAGTTATAATAACAAAAATGAACATACCAGTTACCATCTACAAATAGGTTAGTGTTGGGTGCTTGTGAGGAAGATATGGTTTTGTAAGATACAACATACATTTTAGTTCATATTTGGAGTAGTTCTAGGATCAGTTGCATTCTATATTGAGTCTTTAACAATTTGTGGATTTCTTGATTCAATAATTTTTCAACCATTTTCAAGTTGAGGTAAATAGAACTATGTTTGGGGGTATTTCATTTGACAATCGTTACAGCTGATATCATCATACAAGGATGCCAAGCTCAAATCATTGAGTGCTGGTACATTATACTTCAGGAAACACCTGTTTTTGTCTATCATTCATTATTGCAACTTCGATAAAAGATAAGCTCTCAGCCCAATCAACATTGGATACATCTGAAATAAAACTCCAAGGTATCCTGAAATCTTTGATTGCCTCACACCATCCGTAGGTAAATATTTTTGGGACAGGGATAAGGTTTTTTACAAAAGGATAATGACAAGCTTTGAGATAGGTTTGTTTGTTGTTTCACACCGCACTCAGCAATATTCCAGCTATATGACTGCCATCTGTAAATAATCAAGTCTGGACAAGACAATCCAGTGATTGATATCATGACCATCAATCCATGCAGTTGGGATCGATGACGTGCTTCAACCAAGTCAGCAAGCCTGACCACCCGATCCTGTCAGTCACCTCTTATGACAAGTATTGTCGCCTTTCACGGCAAGTATGGGTTGCTGAAGACCTATTCTACCCCGGATCTTCACAGGTCTCAGATACCTTGACCAGCCCTCCTCATACGTCAGCACTGTACTTGGTCATAGTCTGACCTGGACTCCCTACAGAGGCCTACCCATAGAACATCTTCATCATCAGATACTCAGACAACCACCACCCAGATGTGTGTCAAAACAAGCTACCATACACTGAACACTAACTGTCCATACCATGCACATACATGGTAAATATCACATGCACTTTCTACCGAAATGATTATTATATGAACGATGTATTAATACATAAATAACAATAATTTTCATGAATAAATATTTTAGTAGACCCAAGACCACAAAGTAGTATGAGTAAATATTCTAGGAGACTCTAGGTGATCCTTTGATTTTTTATAATTCAATACAAGCTCTATCTACCCATACGTCGTGACACTAAGCACGCTCTACATCACACATACTTGCTGGAGTTTGTTTTGTTTACCCAGGGGTTTCTGGTAGTGGAAAGAAAAAATTAAAGGGACTTCATTAAGCACTGGCTCTACTCAGGGCAGGAAACATGTCAATGAGTGAGAGGGCTCCACAGATACCCATAGGGGATTCGAACCCAGGCCTTTGCTGTGAAAAGGAAATGTTTTAACCACTAAGCTACCCCTTGCTGAAAATATGAATAAGGTATAAATGTATACCAAACTGAGGTATGCTGATGTAGCTTGCATTTGAGATATTAACATGCATGTGTGATTATCATTTGGACAGCTTAAAATTATTAAATATAAAAAATAATTCAAACAAATTTGAAATTTAAAAAAAAATATTTAGGGCTTTGATGCACGTGACTATTCCACTGCCACAACAGGAGTAAGTCAGGGAATGATATATGATCTTGTAGCATATCTTGAATAAATATATCCAAAATTGGATACAAGAAAATCAGTTCAGTCTCAAAAAAGAAATGATCTAAAAAACAAAGTTTCATAAACAACTCCCATGCATTAATATTTCAAATGTGCTGCAATATATATGAATAGTCAGTATGAGCAAATGAATGAAGAATATGTGAATGAAAACTGGACAAATCCATCACACAGAGTGACAATTGGTGAAAAAAAACTTCGCAAAAAAGGGAGAAAAATTACCCCTGGTGCAAAAGAACGGTATCATAATCAGTTGGTTTACACTACGTTTTACAAAACCATGGAGTCAGTGGTCGATATTATAAGTAAATCCATAAAAGGTATGCATGTATGTTCAGTATGGTTGAATATGAACCAGTAAATGAAAAAACATATTCCTTGGTTACCTTCCTTGCATATCGATCTACTATTGAGTTATTTTATATATTTTAACATTTATTAACCTGATTAGCAAAACAAATAAAAAATTATTTTTTTTTATGTCACCTGGGTCTGAGTTATTGGAAAAAAACTAAAAGATTTGTATATTATAATCTCTGAATATATACTACTCAAAAGAAGTTAAAGAACACCATGACATTACAGATGAACTATAGTAATATGAAAGACTTGTTCTTCATCTTCTTTTGGGTGGTATACTTGATGGGACTTGCTGATGAGTATCTTGACAAGTAAGCAACTAATTTATTTTAATTTATTAAACTCCAGAAGAAAAAAACTGCCTCCCTGATGATTGAAAATGAAAAATGTAAAATGGATGATCAAAATACATGCTGAGCAGCAGTATTTGATAGTCATGTAAAACCAGATTATTTTTTGCATGTGTTACATACTTGCTGATCGTAGTAGCAATTGTTTAAGTGACTGCCATCTTCATGGTATTTAATTTACAGTATGCATTTAAGAATCAGAGAGAACGTAGAAGCCTTTAACATTGATATAAGTCTTCGATTACTCTTTAAACATCTTAATTAGTTTCCATATTAATAAACATATACATGATCATAATTTCATGCAAACATTATTAGTTTCAACACAGGAACTCAGGTACATATTGGAACTGATCAATGCCGTTCAACAAGCAGCTGAACGCAATAGCTAAGGTACATTTCAATCTTTGTCAAATTTGTTTTGAATATTAGACGATTATGAACAAACGGTCCAAGTAACTAAAACCTACTGATTTTAGTAACTAGCTCAGCTAATTTCTATGAGAAATATTACATAATACATGACGTTAATCAATTGTTGTGTTGCTTGAATCTGATTATAAATATGGCCACCACGACAGCCATATTCAGATATTCTGATATTGAGACTGACATCTTATCATCAACAGGGTAATTACGGCTAAACCTTTTTTATACAAGTCAGGGTACATAGGCTTTTGTTTTTGTTTAGTTGTTTTTTAACCCTACAACAATTTTGGAGAACTACTATAGAGTATTGCTATGTTTAGCAAATTGTTTTTGAGAGCTTTTTGTTACCCTCACTGAATACCACTTAAACCTAAGTGACAGCACCTTAAATTAGGGACGAGTAATCCGAGTCACATAATTGTTCTGTGGCCAGCCAAATACTGACACTTATCATACTGGTATAATTGTTCCTTGATAAGTACCATCTTGTAATTTCTAATTCATTACAAAATAGTGCCACGGCACTGAAGCTTACCTGGATATATCAGATCAAAAAGGTAAAAAACAAAGGCAGCCACTCAACCAAAGTTGCTGTCACCATTTATATTAATATATTTTCAGCATAAATACTAATAACTAACACTAAAGTAAAACTATTTGAGCAAAATATGATCTCTTCATCCGAAGAACCATACATGCCAAAGTTCAGTTCCCTTGGTTTGGCGATTTCAGAGAAGCAGTTTACAGAAATAAATATGCATTTTGAGAATTTATGGTTAGACTAGGTCAAAATATAAACTATGAGAAAACAAACAGTAGAGACATGTTGAGCACCACTACTAACTACTCATGTTCATTACATTTTTACCAGAATTGAGTAATGGCCATAAATAGATTGTTCAATATGGCTGACATGGCAGCCATATTGAAAATCAGATGGAAACCAAATTGGGGTGTGATCATTGGTGGGAACAAGAATATGTAGCTTCAGTTTCATTGGTCATGTGATTTTTGAGGAGAAGAAGTCTACACCAGATGACGGACAGGGTATGACAGACACAGGACAAACAGGCCATGACATAAGCTCACTTATGACTGAGTCAGGTGAGCTACAAACCACCAGTGAGGTAAATAGATGTGTATATTTATCTTTCTGTGTCAAGGTTTGTATAGGATTATGTCACCAAATGCTGCAGCTAGGCATTCTTACAGAAGCACACACCCTCATTCTGGACCAAGTTCCAGTAGCACCATCATGCTGTACAAACTTCTTCAGTTTGGTAATGAATATAAATATAAATGCACACACTATTCTACGTAATACATCAGATATATCTGTATGATATTTAAAGAAATAAAAGAATTCAGGTGGACAGGTCAAAGTTGGCAAATGGAATTAAGTCCTATATATGAATAAACATCTTACAGCATTGCAAGAATTTCAAAGAATTCTGGTGTTAGAAACTGGATGTTTTGTTCTCTCGCTGTGGTTTTCAGTAAAGGTGTAACAATACAGTGGGGTCACGATACGATGCGTATCCCAATACTATGGGTCCAGGATGATTCATATCTAGATACAGTACTTTCTTTTCATAAGTTGACATTCTGTCTTTTTGCAGACGAAACACAATCCCGAATCATTTGTTTTTAAATTTCAGGGCTCAAAGATGGGATCAGGCAGGGTACAAACATATAGGCAAGAGGGCACTGTGAATGTTGTGCTATTTATAAGCTGGTCTTGAACAGTTTCATTTAGCATTTTAAATCTCTTATTTTTCATGGGTTTTTACACCAATAGAACCAATATCTTTAAGTGTCATTTACTGTTGTGCTGTTACACTGTTGTTGGCAATATTCAGTGTTAGATAAAGGTGCTGGTACCTGCAAATATGTGAAAAACATTTTGATTAAAGAAGCTGGCATCATACAAATGCTTGTTATAATGTTGATGCTTTTAACTTGTTAACCTTGTATACAGGAGCATGTGAAGGTAGTTAAAACTTTTTTACGTGTAGGGTTGCATTTTATTTGTTGAGATAAGCTGCATCGTGTTCTCAACATGTGGTCAATGTTAGTGCAATTTTTAGTTTTATTTTCACTTTTTATACACTAACATTATTTGCTTAAAACAAAGACATACAAACAACATATTTTTTGGTGTAATAATGTGCAAATAGAAAAATATTGTTTTGCAGTGAACTTGTACATATGGATGAAATATATACAAGCAAATACCATATTAAAAAAATTGGCATAATTGATATAAATGTGCACTGCACTGCAAATATGACGTGTGACTTATGTGTTTTAAGTGCCATAAAACTTTTACCCCATCTTCTTTAGATTGAATTTTCTGAAAATTATTATGCATTTAATATGTGTTTATGTCTCAGCATACTGTATTCATAAAAGCTCTTTTATTGAAATGTGAAAATGTTTTGAAGTATGTTGTTTATTTGATCATAAAATGGGAGATATGACCATAACTATATGATTATTGTTGGGACTTCACACAAAAAGGTAATCTAGCAGTTTTAACCCTTTGGTCCAATTTATCTTGCAATAGCTGTTGGAATATTTACAAAAATAACAGATGGGTATTTTCAGGTAAATAATGTTGAACACTGCTGTTCACATTGAAAAGCTACATGAAATACACATAAAACATGACAGCAAACTGACAACAGGTATCAAAAGTGGGCTTCAATATTTAGGGGTTACTCTATGCAGCAGCAATCCCTGTCACCAAAACTCTGACAAATTTCATTGATATGATGAAGAGCTGGCAGAGTTCCTGCAAGTCCATCATCAATTCAAAAGATTAAAGTCTGGACCTAAATCAAATAATGCAAACTAAATCAGGTGATTTTTTTTTCACACTTTTGATAATCCAGAAGTCCAAGAATACCTGCATCCCAAAGCACTACACCAAGACACCATTCTTCCATCTGAACAGTTTCAACACAACCACACCTGTAATCATGGTGGAACTCATAGTGACCTATCCTACTTTTCCAAAGCCATTAATAGTAATTAATAATCTTCAAATCACTCAGATTCCAAAATTCAAGAAATACTTTAAAAAATGTTTTGAGGGAGGAAATTCTTTTCTTTTAAAAGATGTTACATACATATTTCTGCAGCCAGGGAACTATAGCAATAAACATGAGAAGAACAATGTAGAACTTCAAATGAAGCTACAGGTTGAATTTACAAATTCAAGAATTTATCATGTGAAATATTTTTCAGATTTCTTTCAGGGCATTATTTGTCACGAAAATATTTTCAAGATTGTTGTCTAAGCGGTTCAAAGATGACCCCAATATGCATATCAATAACACACTCAAAATTCATAACAAATTTCACCCACAAAATTTCACCATGACCATCGCAACACTCAGTGTTAAAAAATCCAACTTTGCAACATGTTCGGACAAAAGCAACTACAGCTGCCATCAAAGGTTAATCATTCCAGAGTTAAAATGCTTGAAGCACAATTTCAGCACAGAAGCTGTGTTGTTTCAGCTTAACTTCAGCATGTACCATTCAGCAGCTGCAACTATCAAACAAGCTGCACTTGTTAAAACTGCTAGTACAGAACAAAGATACACCACATAATCCAGGAAGCGTTCTTGGACTAGGAGCTGCTGTCATGTTTTAAGCTGATTTCAACATTCATGCTTGGAGGGGGGTTGGGGGTAGTGAGGTAACACAACTGTGTCTGCTAGTATGGTATACTCACCGCCTATAGAATTGTTAAGAAAAAGCGAAATAAATGATCAGTAACTATGTAAAGAATCATCAAACATTACAAACATGCCATAAATGCTTGCACAAATACCAAAAATAGTAAACCGTATTGCCTCAAAATACATACACAATAATTCTCAACATCAATTTGAAAAAACTTTAGATGGAAATTCAGATCGAAGTTAGACAAATGTAATATGTTTAATTGTAAAATAGAATTGCAGAATATTACATAAACCAATAAAAAATTGGAATGATGGAACATTCTATTTCAGGATGGTAGCAATACCTTAGATAATATTTCCTGACAGAGCTGAAACAATACTGCTCTATATAATTGAAACACAATATTTCATATCTTCCACTTCAAATAACAATGATTTTCCTTGGTAATATGTCAAGCATTTATGTTGTTTTCAACTGACACATAACTTTTTACCTAAACAATATGATCTGATTGGTACATTTGTATTCTAATCTATCTATATATATATATATAGTTGACATAGTTTCTAAGTCTACACAACACTGTATGTCTACATAGTACTAAAACATTTCCAACACAATCTCATAATCAACACTTTCTACAAAAAGACAATGATGAGATAAAGACTAGATTTCCACTTAAACCATTTCAAAAAATAAATATCCAAAGACAACAGAACACATCATGTTAATTTGCTTCATAAAGACAAAACAAGATCAATTTCTTACAATGTTTTCATATAATTTTGAAAAATACACCAATATATCAGTTCTGAATTTTGGTGTCAAAGCAGATTATAATCATTAGTTTGACAAATATTATCGTCAGCTAGGTGTAAATAATTTGTTCTGTGGATATTTATAGCATTAATAAATATGAATTTGGAGAATAAAAATGTAATAGATTCTTTCATCATGGCCCCATGTTTCATGACTCGATATACCCTTGTGATTAAAAAATGGTTAATTAAATGTAGAAATGGTTCCAGGTGTTTGTCATTCTCAAGAACATGGCATCATGCACATGCAATGGAACACCGATGTAACATTAAGATAAATGAAGAGAAAAATACAACATATACTTTCATAATTTTTACCAATATAATGTAAACAATTACAATGATGTTTCTTGATTATCTATATCAAATTGCAAAGACTAGCCTAACATATGTAAATGTTGCAAACGTTACAAGCAACGTCTATCTATATAGTGAGAAGAAATTGAAATATTAATCTGCAGCAACACATTATGAATATAAGCCACACTCTACGTACATATTATAAAACAATTTGCAAATTATATATCTAATAATGTAATTATCAGCTCAATTATCAACAGATAAGCACTTAATTCAATTTGCAATTGAACTTGATTAATGAAACAAATATCAATTTATCTGACAATCATATTCTTATATATATTTATTTTAAATTAAAAAAAATGTTAAACAAAGTAATCGTAATTGTCAGCAATAATCCTCACCTTCTTTTCTTCAATTTCCAGTTCTAAACCATCATTTCTGAGGTTTTCTTCAAACACCTCCCTTCTTTTTTTGCGCTTGTCCTCGTTAGAACCAGTGTTTGTCTTATAAGCAAGAACAAAGTCAATCCTTCTTCGCCCATCATTGAAGTACAGTGATTCTGGGTCAGTCTATATAAAAAAGAAAGTAAAATAGTAAGCACACATGTAAAATTTAACTCCTTCACTGATATGTATACTGTTATTTCTACCAGTGATAGGTTCAACATAATGAGGTTTTGACATTTCAGGAAGCACACATCCTACAAGCAATGTCATAATATTAAGACCTAAGATCTGATTTTAATAAAATTGATGTGCTGAGGATCTGGAGACAAATATTGGCCTCTGAATTATGCCTAGAAAAGTCCCTGCATATATTTAAACATGAAACCATACCTAACATGCTTTCACAAGAAAGCATACATGATAAATGCAAGTGTTTCATGCTAACATGTCAAACATGCTAAATATTCTTCCTTAAAAAACAAAAATTCAACATCCTCAGCTCATGCTTGATACACAACAAACCTCTCAAAAGCAGGTGATCTTGTTTTCAGACAGTACATACTCACAAATTATTTTTTTATTTGTTGTTTGATGCCTCACATAGCAATATTCCAGCTATCGGTATACAACAGTGGCCTGTAAATAATCGAGCCTGGACCAGTCAATCCAATGATCGATATTGTGAGCAATGACCCACGCCATCGGGTACGAGGACACACTACCAATCAAGTCACAAAGCCTGACCACTGACCCACATTGTCGCCTCTTACAACCGGCAATATTTACTGGGACCAACAGAGTAGTTGCAAATTAAAGAAATCAGTAATTATTGTAAGTAATTTCTTCATGCCCAAGAAAGTGACTGAGACCTCAGGAATACCCCATGTCCATGTAAGTCCAGGTATAAGTTAATATTATTAAGTAAACCTGCAAAAGTGGTAGTACCACAATCAAAATTCAGTAGGACAATCGGATCATGCAGACAAAATGTGTTAAAAGCAATCATACATAACAACATTTTGAACGGATATCGACATACTAAGCAAAGCATTAACAACGTTCATCATGCAAACCCTTCATAAGTGTTCTAAGCTGAAAAGGATTCGTAGATATCAATATCAATATTTTTGTATCTAACCAAATAATGTCTTGGCTATATTCACATAGTGAGGAACGCATTAGTAACAAAAAGTGTAATTGGAAGCAGAAGGCCCTTAACGATTTTGGTTTGTTTTTTAACGCCGCATTCAGCAATATTCCAGCTATATGAAGGCGGTCTGTAAATAATCAAGTCAGGACCTGACAATCCAGTGATTGACATCATGAGCATCAATCCATGTAATTGGGATACGATGACATGCATCAACCAAGTCAGTAAGCCTGACCACCCGATCCCATTAGTCACCTCTTACTACAACCATAAACGCCTTTTACAGCAAACATGGATTGTTGAAGACCTATTCTACCCCGGATCTTCACAGGTCCATCTCACAGTCAACAAACAGGAACAAAAAAAAATTTTTTTTATGAACCGTCTTGACCAACTCCAGAGCAAATACATTTCAAAAGAACTCAGAAAAAAGGAAACATTAGTATAATATTCTTTATTGTTTTACTGTCTTCCCTTGCCCATGATAGTACTAATACAATATGATTAATACTGAACCAGTGTTACAAATAGGGTTCATTGCAATTTCTTGATACCAGTAGCTTTCATAGCCTGGTCCCCAACACCTAGTTATTAGTCTTTATGCGCATTAGAAATATGATATGATGCATGAATATCTACCATTCCTCAAATGATCCTACAATTCAATATATAATCAACAAAGAACTAGCTGCTTAGGTTTATATGTACTTGTGATATTGATGTGACAATTATTGTCTTATTGTCTCAAGGCCTAGATCTACAAGTGATCTTTAGATGGTAGGAGCTGGTCACTGAAGTGTCAACCTTTCTTGAAAGCATCAAACACACTGTAAATTGGAAGATTTATTACTGGTAGGTGTCTTCAGAGCATTCAACAAATTTACTTACAAACGCCATTATTCCATGTCACTGAACAAACGTAAGTACAAGAAACACAATAATTCAAGACTGTCAGTCAAGACATGAGTGCAACTGATGAGAATGTGCAGAATGGATTAACGAGGACCATGAAAGCATGCAGCCTTGTCTCACCCCAGACATGACAACATTCTTGTGATGCTCGACATGCAATTTTATCTCACCCCTACATGATGCCATGTCGACATGCAGCTTGTCTCAACCCTACATGACGCCATGCTCAACATGCAACTATGGTATTGTCAAACATGCTACCGTGGTTTCATCTCGGACTGCATCACTTACTGTGTTAGCATGTTCAAGGATGTCCAACTCCATGGTACCAGACGATCATGCAGGATATTGTTAGTGGGTTGTGTCAACAGTTATACTGTGTCCTCCAATATTATACCATGACACATTCAATATATTTTGCAGCATCTGTGGATATGCTTTTGTCAGCAAAATAGTTTGGACAAATTTGCTTTGTAATTTCTCATTAACATAAATCTGAACACAGCATATTATTGTTACTCTATGTCTGACTGTTCTAACATGGTGTAATATGATAACATATATTTTACCATACTATTTGGGTTTGATGAAAACATGACTTCAAATGTTACCTTTATTCAACTGTTTAAACATTGTTAAGATTACTTAACAAACACTTTTACCTTACTTTTACACTTTTTCAACTGAACAATACATGAATATCAAAGTTTAAATTAAAACTGCTAATAAATTGTTAACTCCAAGCCACAATCCTGGAGTTCTACTCAGACCCTCAGATGCGCTGATACAGGTAAGCAGCTTATTAAAGCACAGGTACGGTTTCATTCATTAACATAACATACATGAATATAGAGTTATCATTTTTGTTGAATGTCATAACAGGCTTTCTGAAACTAAGAGCAGGGAATGATAGAAAATGTATGGCACAGGATGAACTATCTATGCTTATAATTTTGATGCACTGTCTGTGCAAATAAATATGATGAACTATCTACTCATATAAATATGATGAAATATCTTCTCATATATTTATGAACATAGCATGGAAAAGAGGGCACTATGTAACATAAGGCTGAAAATAGCAGCGCAAGAGTTAAGGTTTCTGGTTCTAAGTAATTACATTACAAGTCTATATGATTCGTCTTACAAAATGGAATTCTCACTGAGGAACAAATAAACTATATTGCATGATAATACATTTTTGCTCTTAAAGCACCACAACATTGCACAACATGCAGCAATATCCCTTTGCCATTTACGTACAACAGTAACCGTGTTTCCTACAATAACTGATCTTATTCATTACTTTAAAGAAGTATAACTTCAGAGATCTTCAGAGATTCATTCATATATTTTTCACTGCTACTTTGCCTAACCCAATTGATTGTTTCAGCAGATAATCAAAACCAATTGGTCTCTGGTGATTACGTTTCATACATAATATTCTTCCATTTCTAAAAACATTCACACTAAAGTCAATCTGCATTAAGTCTTAAATGGTACATGATCCTTAGAACATTTTTACAAGATAGTTTATGTAGAAACATAATAATTACTGAGAGTTATTACAAAATCACTTATTAGACTAATTTTGGGGAAACACAAAAAACACTTCTTATTGCTGCATGATAAGTTTGGTCTGAGGCTTTTAAAGAAGTAGGCTACAATATGGAGAACACAGCATACGGATGGATGGACGGAAAAATGGACATACAACGGATGGACAGAAGGATGGTATAAGAGGTCAGTGCACGTGTCACCTTCAGATGTGGCTGGTCATTGTCCTCACGGGACAAGAGGACCAGGTCTTCACGACTCTCCTCGGGATCCTGCAACTGCATGTGTGAAGGTGGTGGTGACATTTAGTTAAGGTCAAACAAGGGTAGAAGTCGAGCCTGACCATCCATCCCATCAAGTCAGGTATACAGGTTTGGGGCTGGTTGGTTTGAATTTGATGGTGTAAAGGTGGACACAGGTTTGAGAACAGAAAATTTGGATGACAGTTGTGAAATTGTAAAGATTTGTCACTCCAAACATGAAGTCACAAATGGTACTTCATCTTTATGCATATATGCATTCATGTTTGGAGAAAGATATTCTCAACCATGGCATAGAAAATTGAAAGTAGGGTTCCAAACCTGAATCTGTATCTTTATTCTCATGGTCAGACTGTCCATGCTGTGAAATGTTTCATTACAGAGCAAGACACTCAACACCATGTACATTGAATAACATGCATTTCAAATCCATGACAATATGGAATATATGAAGTCTGTAAAAAAACTTATTTAATGGAAATTACTAAGTGTGGACATATTTGAAAATTCATAGATTCTTTGACAAGAGGGATATTGTAAGAGTATTCCACAAAACGTAAGGTAATATTTATTTGTTTGTTATTGTAAAGTTCTATTCTGACATATTTTCTAGTGGCCTTTACGGTATCCCATGACTGAGTTATCTCCCTTCTATTCCACACAATGTCACATCCGCTTTCGCTTTACGCACGAGGTTTGTATCCTTGCATTCGTTACATTCTATGTTGTGTATGTATATAAATTCTAAGAGATTGTGATGTCATGGTGTGATGAAGGGGTGGGCGGTTGGTTTGGGGTAACGGTGGAGAGGTATCGCATGTTCAGGGCTCAACGGATTGCGTCACTGGGTGTGTGCTATTATCAGTTGTGTCCATTGATTTCGCTGCAGACTTATATATACGTTGAATAAATGTACAGATTGTTTCATCCTGTGTTTCCGGTGTAATTCGTACATTGTTTAACACCGTACTCAGAGACATTCGACCTACTTGACGGCAGCTTGTAGATAATCAAGTCTAGACTGGACAAGACAACCAAGTGATCAATATTGCAAATGATCCATGCTGTCAGGCAGGGTACGATGACACATAATCAACCAAGTCACTGAGCCTGACCAACCAATCCATTTATTCACCTTTTACGACCTGCAAAGGTTGGTAACCTGGAATCCCCACGAAAAGCAATACTGACCTAAAGGACTGTTGGAGTAACTTTAAGCAGCATTTGCATATTCAAAATCATACTGAGGCTGTTTGACTATATTATTTTATGAAATGCATTCAGTTTTTCATTGAAATATGTCAAGATTATACAGGAGGGATGGTTGAAATTTGGAAAGATGGAATTGCACTCCTTGTTTATTTGTATATACTACTCCAAAGAAGTCAAAGAACTAATTTTTTTAATATGACCGTATTTAATCTGTCATGGCCTGGCTGATATCCCCATATATCCGGCCATCATAAATGAAATATGTATAGCATCCTCCTAGTTGAGTTTATGGAAGAAGTAGTTGCATTAGCTGTGTAATACATACACAATATGTTGAAGTCATGCATGCCATTCGTTAGGTCTCACCATGCTATGCTGTGTGTTGTTGTTGTATGTAGTGTTGGAAATTATTTAACATGAATCAAAAGGACTCTTGTCATGATGCCTTTTCAGAATGTTGAACATTTATGACTAGATTCAAACACAAGGCTTTCAGACTCAGGAACCCGTGGTTTCTACCAATGCTAGATGTGCTGAGTGACGAGCATATCCTTTTACTACCAATACATCATGGTGTTGAGGGGTCTGCTGTGACATCCCATACTGCATCACCACAACATCACTGTACACAAGCTTACACACAACCCATACACCTAGGCACAAAGAGCTGGAATTATTTCTAAGAAATTTTATTCAATATTGGTCTTATCAAAAGAATGATTTCACTGAAAATAAGTAAAAATCAATCTGCTTTGGCCTCAGGACAAATAATGGGTAACGGTCTCAAAACATAGGATGTCTTAAAAGTATATTAATGTCAGTCAAGATGGAATCCAAAGAAGATTTTTTCAGCACCTAAGTTTTCTATGCAGAGTTGCATTCCTTAGGCATACCAGGATCCTTGTGAGTTCTGATCCCAGTTTCGTCTGTCAACATCATACTTGTTTCACCAACCTTCACCACATGGGTCTTTTCTCCCTCACTTAGCAGACATGCCATGATTTAACAGGAATGCTGTTCAGCACCGAAACCAAACTCCCAATTGTATGTAGGTTTGTTTCCATCTGTGTGCCCACCAACATATATACATACAAGCACCTTCACCTGCATGACACTCCACCCATGTCCTCCACCTCCTAGCTTCTACATCAAACTGGACTACAACACCTAGTGAAGGAGAAGTCATGTTTTACCTTCAGACTTCACTAGATCTCATTGTTTACGCGACAGAGTGAATGAAACGGTCTTTATATTTTCCCATTTTCTAGATCACAATTAACCAACCTGCAGATGGATTGCTTAAAAACTTTTGGGAACAACTAAAATATAAAGAGACACATGACTTGGGTAATCAGGAATCTGTTAATCTGGAGGATATCATTGGGAATCACACCATCCAGACTAACAGGGTTTCACTGTAATTATTTACTTTAATGGCAATAAATGTTTACTGACATATCGGAAATAAGATGAAGGCAATGACCCTATTATCAATTTATCACCAGCTTTCAAAAATATCCTTAAATCAAATTCAAACTTGAACCACCCTTGTAATCTTAAGCTTTCCCTACTATTATCGATTTGTTAGCTATTATATAACATGACAGTCTGAAGTTCTGATTTATCTTCCCAAACTGGCTTTGGCTTTGTTGAGATCAAGTGATAACTTCTGGGAGATATTGCTACAAAAATTGCATCACAATGCTTATCAGACCATTGTGACGTCATTGGTTGCCATGACATCACAATCAAATGACAACTAATCTCTGCCACTGCAGCTGGCTAGCTATACTTTGGTTGTTACAGTTTACAAAACGATAGAAGTTGGGAGAATGATTATGGATTATAAATTGAATCTCACTGTCATGTCTTTTGATAACAAATATATCAACACTTGTCAACAAAATTAAAAACTATGGCAAGCCACCCAGTTTTAAACTTTTATCAACCCGTGTGGTCAGATTCTCTATCTGTCACCAGCTGTAGCAAATGTTCTCAAATCCAACCTTCCTTATAATCTTAGGCCGTTCCCGACTATTATCAGTTTGTAAGCTATCATATTATAACACTACAGTCTGAGGATTCTATTCTGATATGCTAAACAGCCCTTAACCCTGCAATCAAGTCACACCCTCCCACGTCACAAGCTCCTGGTTCAGGAGAGTTCAAGATCTGATCGAGCATGACCAGCCATACAGGTTGCATGAGAAGGCGACAGTGTGGACTGGACTCTTGAAATCCTTTTGTTGTGTTGTCATAATTCTATGTCTCCAGTTGTGTATGTCTCACTCCTGTCATACAAAGAGGGTTTGGATGTTTATTCAACACATATCGTGGGAGTTCCAACTGTATTCTCCAGGTTAAGGTACATAACTATTCATAACAAAGAGCTTGGAGACCTGACAGCTGAATTGTTCCACAGAAGCTATTGTTGAAGTTATAGCATTGAGAAGTCAAGTTTGCTATCAAACATTGATTGCTTGCTCAGAAGTTGTTTGATAAAGGTTACAACATTCAAGGCCCCAGTAAAGCTTTCAAATTGTTTTATGGTAGACATTAGGAAGACATTTCCAAATTTGTTGATCAGTGACAAACATGATGTCCGAAGCAATTCCCTATTTTAACTTGTACAAAATGTTCCTGTGTTTTTTCAGGTGAACTATTGACTTGCCTTTTCATGTGTTTGTGATGGGTGCACCGGTGGGGCAGGATACGCTCAACTTTTCACGAACACCTGGTATCATCACCATTTGATAGTGATTCATAAACACATGCTCATAATATAGTCAGAATCATATAATCGATTCTGCTTTTAGCTGAGATATCTATTGACTATTGAAAGTATTTTGTCGCTTTTAATAAGTTAAACATTGCATGCCACTGTGACTATACCCGAAAACCTTTAGGCTGGAACTTTGTTATTCACTGTTCAGGGGGTTGGGGGGGGGGGAAAGAATATATGATATCTCCTGGAGATATATCACTGCAATGAATGGCATCAGAATGCCTTGCAGATCATTGTGATGTCATCGATTACCATGACATCACAAGCAACTGACATCACTAATCTCTCTGCCACTGAAGCTGGATATCTCTACTTTTAACATTCAAGGTGCTGGTTGGAACAGTCTACAAACTGAAAAAGCTGGAAGAATGATTTGGATGACATATAGAATTTTACCCAAACTTATCAACATGCATCAATATCAGGGTTAGAAATTGGCACTAGTCCTATAGTCCTTGCCAAATTGCCCAATGGTAAAGGTATCATAATGACTAGTAAATATTTGCCATTTTTAAGGGTTTTGCTATATGTTATCATTATAAGGACTAGTGGACCAAAAATTTTAGTTTCTACCGCTGAATAATAGTTAATAACTCATCAACTAGCTTTAGAGTTTTAAATTTTTATGACATGTGTTAAGACACCTGAGTGAGACTCTTGATGAAGCCTATTGTCTGTAAGTTATATCTCAGTCCTGGTTTGGCCTCAAATGCTTAGAAAACTCAGTATCTCATACATAATGCTTCTATGAATCACAGACTTGTGCCAGGCTGCGTTCTGTATGTAAGCTTGTGTACAGCTAGATTCTAACAAACACAATCTATCACAATCAAACTGGTAAGTGACAAGTTTGCAATCAGTAAAACATCTCAACAATTAATAAAGGGTTGCATTAAATAAATAAATCAATCATTCCAAAATGTCATGCCAACACACAACTCTATGATAACTCACTAATGAATGATTGACAGCAATCAAGAATAATTTATGCTGCATGCATTGCAGATATTTAACACTGCAGTGATTGAATAAAGAGTCAATATAATAGAAACGTTCTGTAATGGCCAAACTCTTCTCAAGAATATTTAGGTTGCATGAAAGTGTTTTTTCTTCTTTTGGACAGAAAGAATTACAGTATATTTCTTCATTGTTTATCCTGTCCTGTATGTATTTCTGAAACAATAATTCGATACCCTGCATAACTTATGATCGTAAATATCACTAGATAGGTGCCACATTGCTGGGGGTGTTGATATTATATAGACAACTAGCAAGCAGAGGTCCACTGTGGTTCACCGACAAGGATTTAATACACACACAGTTATCTCCCCTTCCCTTGTGCTGTATATTTCAAGGAGAAGGCGTACATTTCACCAGCACATTCTTACCTCGTGTTTGGTGGCAGTTGGTTTCTGTCCATTTTCTACCGATTCTGAAACACAGATTGTCATAAAACATATCAGGGTTGTTTAAACTTTTCTTGGCATAATAAATGTCATTATGCAGTCCTAAGATTTAATAACAAATATTTATTACATATATCAAACACGTGAGAGTATATGTCGTTATTTCACATGGATAGTATATCATGCAGGATCATGCTATTGGAGACATGAGTTGATCACAAATTGAAAAATGATTCCTATCATAGTATTAAGTCATTTCGAATCTTGCCTGTGTCTTCATTTGCACTATAATCAAAACATCCAAAACGTTCATCTATTCTTAAACATACTGACATAATAAAAAAGAGTTGACTCTCAATAAGTTGGTGAAATACACGTACAAATAACAAATAAAAAAAGTAGACACCTTTGGTCTCTGATAAACCCTATTAAATTTATCTTCATATGACTTAAGTGATAAAGTAGAAATTCCTATTTTGATACACCAACTGAGTATCTATAAATTCCATACATAATTTGATCACTTAACTAAAGGAAACTGCTGTATCAGCAACCAGACCACAGCAGCACACTGGACTCAACTGCTTAGCTCATTTACACACACACAGATTGTGAACTACCAAGAATTTAACCACTGATGTAACAAATATTGTTTAGCATGATTCTACAAATCTTTTCCATATATTGCACAACAGACCGAAGTCTATATGACACATAGTTTGGAATGGAAAGATAGGAGTCACCCAAGATGGATTCAATGAACTAGACAATTTTGGTTCCATGAATGGCCCCTTAATGAGAGTCGATTGTAGATAGAATTCTGATGATATCTTTAACTTGTACACATCATTTATGTTGACACCACTTGTAAACTGATCCTGAGAGTTCTTTCCAAAACCATATGACTCCACATTTTTTACATCAAAACCTTTATTGTCAAAATTAGTATTAGTCTAAAACAGTGACTAATTGATATTTGTCAGTTAAATGACTGTATCTACAAACTCCTATGTCACTCACTATGTTAAATGCTCCTAATAAAACAAAAAAAATAAAACACAAATAAGTTACTGAGATTATTTCAGGTTATGTAATACAGTAGAACATGGATATAACGAACTACAAGGGACCGGAGAAATCAGTTTGTTATCTATGTTGTTCGTTCTAATATACGTTTTTCCTCGGAAACGTCCACCATCTTGGATAGAACAAAACACAATACACATAATTGCATCATTGACTTGTATTAGCAGTGATCACTTCATAGAATTCAATTCATAACATTCCATAACATTCATTTAGTAACATTAAATTCATAACATTTTTAGAAAATTGTTTATCAGATACATGTTCATATGAATTTAGCTGGTACGTATTTATCAGCTCACGACTTACATACGGCCAGATGTGTAGTCGGTGATTTGGCTTTTCTTTTTAATGATGGTAATGAATGTTGATTTTGGAATGTCAAATTCCATTTCTTACATTTTATGCCTGCATCAACAGCATTTATAATTCTCAATTTCGTATCTAGACTGATAGCTTTCCTCTTATGTGCAAGTGAACTGACACTTTGACACAATCTTGTGAAATTTAAATGTTTAATGTTTGTTTTACAGACAAGATCAGTCCAATTACATGTACAGGTAAGATTAACATAAAGCAAGATTAATAAGGTTGAATCATCAATGCTGATTGTGTTGATTCGCCGCTGATTGCAAATAGCCAATTGTCAGTGACACTTGACACTGAGTGAGATTTCTAAGTCACTATATACGTCACTAATTAGTCGTATTTGGGCTTGTCAGGGATCAGATATCAGTTCACTATATATGTTAGTTCGCTGTAGAGAGTTTGTTATGTACGCACATTTTATATGATAATATACAGGAGATAAATCAGGGTTTTTGTAACAGTTCGTTGTATCCGTTTGTTCGCTCTATCTGTGTTCGCTCTATCCGCGTTCTACTGTATCTATAAACCTGTACTATATAAGTCCTATGTAGAACTACACTCATATCTTCATGTATTACAACCTGATGTAAAACCCGATTACTCATGCATGACTGCCAAGTGTAGTGTATTTCACATGACCTGAGCAAGCGATACAAAATCAATGAAGCTTGACAATATATAGAAAAGAATGTCCACTGACAGCTTTCTAACATCTAGGTCACTAGACATACTTGATAATACACGATATGCTTGTGTATAAGTATGAAGTGTTTATTCTTCTGAATATGTCATTTGGATTACAATTTTTTTTTATAACATGCTGTCTTCTGATCAGAAATATGCGATTTCTTCAGAGCAACTAAATATGGCTGAGGATAACACGCTTCTCTGGAGACGGGTTTGCTGCTGTTTGGAACGGAATTTCAGCTGTATAATGTCAAGTCAGCTAAGCTGGTGACATTTACAACATAAGCAACTTCAGGTGTCATAATCAGGTCGAATCCAGGATTCGAACACACATCAGCAGATCCTGGCACTGCCTGAGGAAACAACTCTGTACACCACTGGGGACCTATGCCCCCTACACCCCACTTCTGTTAGGACTAAAAATAATAAATAGCTTGAGTTCCATGGAAGTACCGTACTACCAACATGTAACAACTTCTACAATAAACCCTTTCCTGTTAAATCATTCACAAATCTTCCTATCTGCTCAAGTTTTTCACTTGTACAAAATACAACACACTGAATGATTTTAGGATACAATAATCAAATATAAAACATCACAAGTAAAGCAATTACACAGTGAAGTTACCAATGAATACTGGCAAACACTTTCTCCACATGGCCTGACGATGTTAGTCGCTACTTTCAGAAACAACATAAATATTTAATTATCATGAATTCAACATTTACATTAATGACACCTATAACAACATGAAGTGTATGCTTATTACATATAATAGCAACAGGACCAGTTTTTATCTGGTGGTGTTAGTAACACACAATGAATATACATGGATGCTGACATGCATTTAAGATGATGACATGCTGTGATGAATTAATGTGAAAGCAACCTGCATCGCAACAAATCCTACAATGTTAATCCTTGACTGATTCACACATACATATCAGTCTTATTCATGATTGTCATGAATTATTCATGAAATATCTTATGTTCCTGGTGCCGCTGATCTGCAGAATATTTACAGCCATCTCTGTTATTTATGCCAAGGTGACATAATGCTACAGTCTTTATTATTTGCATGTTATTTGCTTTCATTGACATATTCTTTCTGTGTTTCATAACAGTCTAACCTGTTCTAATGTGCCATCCCTTAAGCTCATAAGATTCCCATTCCACAACGCGATCTTAGCACTACGATTGTCCAAGTCAAAGTATGGGAGTTAAAATCGTCTTAACGCTAAGATCACTTAGTGGAATGGGGCCCTTGAACTCGAAGGCTGGAATACAAGTTTGACTACAATTCTGAATACAAGTTTGAATGTAATTTTGAATACAATTTTAAATACAATTTTGAATACATTTTTAATCTCTTAGTCAAACTTCTGACCAACCTTTAATTATTCAGTTGAATAAAAGGTGGCACCATAACAGAGTTAATGGCTGGAATCAACATTATCTGAGGCAGTAGAAGTAAAATAAGGTGGCAGCTTGATAAACATGCTTCATGCACATTTCACTATGAAACGCAAGCCTGCTTGTCTCAATAAGCTAAGATCAGGCCTACCAATGAAAACTGACAGAAAGCAATAAAAATAACTGTCATGTGTCCACAATACACAAGGAATAACACAAAACAATGACACTGTAACCAAAAACAAAGAAACATCATCATAAATCTGACAGCACACTGCTGAAATCATGGAAACGGCAGCGCTAAAATACACAGACCGCAATCTTCCAAACTAGACATGCACAGAACAAGTAGGAAGGTGACACTCACGAGGATCAACGAACAGCACAAAATTTACATCTTACAGCGCTGATAAAAGAATACAGATGTAGATTATTCTATATTAGCGCTGTAAGATGTAAATTTATTCACTGTTTGTTGATCGTTGCGACATGACGATCAACTTCCTTCTTCCTGATATGCCTAGTTTGGAATGGTGCTGTTTGTGTGCTTCAGTGCTGCTGTTTCCATGGTTATTCAGCAGCGTGCTCTTAGATCTATAACAATGTTTCTTCGTTTTAGGTTATGTTTCTTTTATGTTAACGATTCTGTGTGAATAGTAGACATGACAGTTTTAATTGCAGTCTGTCAGTTTTCTTTGGTAGGCCTGATGATGTATTAGTTCAGATTCCATTTGACATATTGTCACATGCAGCCTCAGTGAGTGAGTGAGTTGGGTTTAACTCCGCTTTTAACAGTATTCCAGTTATATCACGGCGTGTCAGCTTAATGTGGAAGGAAAGCCCGAAGCGATGCAGGTCTCAGACGTTTACCACTTCGGTGAACCGACAAGCACGGGTATGATGCCGACAAACCTAGAAACATAATCGGGGCGAACCGGGATTCGAACCCACAATCATAGGTTTCTAGCGTGCCCAAGGGACGCAACTCTGCACTGCGAATCACGTCGCCTTAGACGACTGGGTTACCCATCAATAATAAGTGATAAAACAACACAGTGGAAGACATCCAACATCTGACAACCAAGTGACTTGTCACTGTGTTATGACGATGGCAAACATACCTGAAAACAAAATTGTTACAAAACGAAAGAACCCTCTTTGATACCAATACAATTTTTGGTTCTCAACACCAGAAACCCCAAATTGTCATGTATACAAGGAACAGATTTTCATGGGTAAAGATGGTTTGATTTTAAATGTTAATTTTGAAATGGATGAGATTAATGGTGATTGGAGTCATTCACAACAAAGAACAGATCATGCAGCGAGTTGTTGGAACCTGGTAATATTGGTCGAATTCCAACAAGCGACACCCCCGAGTCTGTCACGCCATTAGCGGTCGTCATTCCTGTCGTACAGAATGTTTCGTATTAGTTGACAGCGACACACGATGCACATGTACATGTTATTCATTAGGATTGACAAGCCAAATAGCAGTTTCACATGCCACATGTACTCTCACAAGTCTTGACATAAATTAACGATGAAATGTGAAAAACGAGTATTAATATTTTTCATTTCATGAATTTTACGAATGAAATGGTTTTGACAATAAGTTATCGTTAGAGGTACTTGATCATCCCTCATAATCATACAACACATAAAAAATCGTCTTAAGGGAATTCTAGACCTCTTAAGAAGATATTCAGCCTTGAGTCAGTAGGAAATGTCAGTTAAAATTCCCAAATTAGAAAAAAAAGATTCCCAATTCATGGTAAGTGCCACAAGCACATAGGTTTGACGCCATGATAAATCAATGTTCTACTGTTAATAAGACCAAAAAAAACAACATACATGTATAAATACCAAGGTAAAAAATGCCAAATAATTTGTTTCTGTTAAAAGGGCGGCCAACTGTATGTAGAAATAATGGCACATGATTCTTGAATTGTTAAAAAAACATCTGTATAACTGGCCCCAACACCCCATTAGACAACGCTGTCATTAAGTCAACACACTACGTAAACAAACATAAGGTCATGTTGACATGAAAAAATTGTACTTTTTACTATTTTAAATGACTTAACACATATGAATAACCAATAATCATATTGGCAGGCAGTTTTTGTCTACTATATATAAATACATAAAAAAAATCTCATGAGAGTGTGAGTGAATGAGTATGGTTTTACATCATTTTTAGCAATATTCCAGCAAAATCATGGCAGGGGACACCAGAAAATGTCAGGAATCAAACCCGGGTTTTTGGCGTGACGAGCCACTAGGCTACCGGACCGCCCCTCTCATGTCAGAGAGGATAAACAAAATTCTCATATTCATGGTGGTGGACCAAGAGTAATAATTTTAACTGATCCTATCACATGATGTCTTTAAGGCAATAAACAAGGTGGAGCGATGTACATTTCGCCAAGTACGTTGTGTCAGAATCATGAAGTAGACGTGTCATGTTTGTATGGTGACACTCATCATTTGTCACCACCCTGCCATGGCCTGAAATACATCATGTCAATCATCGGCATCAACACCCTGCATCCTGACATATCTCACATACTCGTTCGTATCATCATGTGATTGCCTTGAGTAACTCAACTCTTTCTTTGATGACAACTACCCAGATGAAATCCATTCGCAACCGTAAGAATAACAAGTAAAGCTGTATATCAACATTTTCATTTAGTTAATTGAGTATTCCTGGTACATTATAGCTACGAAACAAACTCAAGAATTGTAAGTGTCCTCAAAGACAGACAAGAGCAATTCCAGTGACAAAACAAACTTAAAAAATAATATGAATATATTCATATAAATTTACAAAATCTATCCAAAATTCAAAAAGTGATCCATGTCCCAATTAAAAAACATACCTGTCATGTCTTGTATCAAGGTGGCGTACTCCCTCCCAAATGAAACTAACAAGTGTCTATTTCATGTACATTTATCCTTCAAGGTTTGGGTGTGTTGCGAGAGTTTATGATAGGCAAGTACTTGCCTACGCAGACAATAAATTGACATATTGATAAGGCTCACGGTCAGTTGACATAACTTGAATGCCACCCTTTCTGTATGGTACTGGCATAAAGACAGGGCTGATCGATGCTGCCATAAGGTATCAATGGCAGTGAATGTGTGCTACTCCAGGAACATCTGTCTCACTACTTAACATACAAACCTGTGAAAGAAAATATCTTCCCTTTCAGGAATCAGCTAACCCAGGATTTGATGACATACAGCCATGTTTTCATCTACACGTTTTGTGTTCCTTGGATATTACTTTTGTTAGGAATTATCTTCAATAGAATATTTGCTTATCAAAGAATGATAAAAACTCCCATAGCAAGAGTTTTACACGGCTTTGAGCAATATTCCAGCAATTAAGGGACATAGAGGGCAAGGATTGGATTCATACATTGTATCCCTCGTGGGGATATCCCATTCAGGTCTTCACAAATACCTGCATCAAAGTAAATAGATGTTAAACACATACTATACAATCTACAACTGTAGAATGCCTCAAAATAACAACAGGTTCTGAAATACAACTTTCGACATGAAATGTAATTTCACTCGAGTGAAACATCGATTTTATATTTTGCAATGAATATAATACGTTATTTTAAATATATATTAAAAAATGCATATACAGTGTTGAAGCTACAAAATGTAATCATTGCTGAACTCCAGCATAAAGCAATAGTGTCGCCAATAATGTCGTGAAGCAAAGCAGATCGTTTCCCTGATTCATCATGTTAGTGGCCACCAGTGCAGTTGGCATAATCATGATAATAATAATTGATATGCTGTGATGGTGATGTGCTGCACAATATATTGGTTTGTGAGGTGAGGTGAGATAGGCTGTAACATCCTGTTTGATTGCTCTTGTACAGCGAAGAGTGTGTGTGTGTGTGTGTGTGTGAGTGTGTGTGTGTGTGTGTGTGTGTGTGAGTGCGTATGCATGAGATACCATGCTGCAGTTTAACATCGATACTGTGGACTATCAATTTTACAATTAGATGGAAACTGTAGCAGATCATGTTGCAGACTATTGACGAAATAATTTCTAATCCTGACTAGTTCTTGTAAGAGATGATCTGAACTGGTTCAAGTAATTTCATACAACTTTATCAGAAAAACAGCCATTAGTCCTCTCTGACCATGTGTTATGGGTCATGGTTGATACACTTAACACCACATGGCCGATTGATCTACAGTGCGTATCTGTGAGTGAGGATGATATTGAAGGCCCTGAGAGTGCAATCTGTATATGTAAATATGAGATGCTGTGCTATCTTCATCATTAAGATAGGATCCTGTTACATTGCCCAGCTTCCTGTAGCCTGTGTGGTGAACCAACCATGAAAATGCCACACATACTCCAAAAAAATTTAAGGATTAATAGATTCTAACATATCATAAAAGTTAATCTGTCATGGCACTTTTAGAGTATGACAACACACTATCGACATAATTCACTAACAACGCAGTCAGCAATATTGTGGGTTTAATGTGGCCCGTCAATAATTAGGGATGAACCAGGCTAACCAGTGATTGAAAATATGAGCACCGATCCACTGTGACCATCAAGGCAGAATGACATGCATCAACCAACAAAAAAAAGAATAAAAACAAAATCTCCCCAAACCATTTCTTCTAAAGTGATGCTGGGGACCTATGCAAACATAAGCCCCTACATTTCTACAGATTGACTAACATACTCAACTATCAAATTTCTGTAACAATGTCAACTGATGCAAATAGAAGCTTATGTAAATAAATATCAAATCAGGGAAAGCTTGATGATATTGTTATGTTTTAAACGGCCAGTAGTTGACCGTTCTGCATTGTTTGCAAACAATAGTCGATAACCACCATCTTACTCAACGCTGCTCGCCGTCTTCTGCGTGAGAAGGGTACAGCCCTATCACTAATATAACATGCATGTTTTAAATGTCAATACCACCTGAATAAAAAGAAACTAAAATATCATAGGCGATAGTACTAAAGCAATATAAATGACTGATATGAAAAAGCACCTACCTCTTGCTACCAATACAGATTAGCCGATAAATCAATTAACTAAGAATTAAAAAGCTTCACCTAAATTAGTCGATAAAAGGTCCCTTTCCAAGAAGATGGACGTGAAAGTCTCAGTGCATATTGTGCAATAAATCATAGTTTTACCTGGTATATGAACAAGATCTGGTGCGGCTACATACCCTGCACCTGCAGATGCAAGGGCAAGGTCATGACCTTCAGGGGGTGGTGGGAGACCTTGATCTTCAAAGCCAATGGGTTGACTGATTGGCTGGGGGTCTGGTAAATGGTCTACTGCCTCAACATGAGGTGGAGGAATTTCAAAATCTTTATCTGTTTCAAATCCAGCATTTTCATGACCTTCCCCTGTGCATTTACAGGAATTGAAATGAAAACAAACAACACAGAATATTAATGAAAGAAGGTGAAAGATGTGCTGTCAACAGAAAATAAATATTATCAAGATAGGATAATCATAATTCTGAAATAAAATATACTAGAGATAGCAGTTTCATGTTAAAGAAAATAATCTTAATGTAGTGAAAACAACACATTTGCTGAAAATAAAGAAAGACAAACTTTAACCATTAGTAACAGAGGTGCATGTTTCCCTTATAGTCACTTGGTGCTTCCATTTGCAATTTCATTGACCGTAATAAGCACCAAACAGACAAATGGGGATGCTTATGAAAACCATAATAAGGGAGTTAATTTGTGGTTGGAGATTAAGTGGTAGTGAACAAAATTAGTTCAAACGTTGTGAGTGAGTGAGTTGGGTTTAACGCCGCTTTAACAGTATTACAGTTATATCGCGGCATGTCAGCTTAATGTGGGAGGAAAGCCTGAAGTGATGCAGGTCTTAGATGTTTACCACTTCGGTGAAACCCACAAGCACGGGTATGGTGCTGACAAACCTAGAAACATAATCGGGGCGTACCGGGATTCGAACCCACAATCATAGGTTTCTGGCGTGCCCAAGGGATGCAACTCTGCACAGCGAATCGCGGCGCCTTAGAAGACTGGGCCACCTGTGCCCCCCTCAAACTTTGTGAAACTAAAACTGTTTTGATAATAGCTACTACACAATTATATATGCCTTATTCACTACTGTATTTTTTAAACAAATCTGTAATATACACAAGAAAGTATGGACTGTCGTGTTAATTTTCAGTCTAAGGGTGGGGGCGCTCATACAGATGACTTTCAGACCAGTCTATAAGTTGGTCAGGGGAAGCCTACTGGGGCAAGGCAAATACCATACTTTATATTTAACAAACCTTAACATTCCATTTTGACATATTATCCAATCACTTAAATGAAAAGAAAAATGCCATAAAACAAACGATGTTGCTTATGAATTTATCTTGTTTTCTATTTGCAATCATAATATTTCTGTACATGTATTGTTCAAAATTTATAGTTAAAAAAATCACTTATTCCTTCACTTGTCAATCATACACACTCATTCCTTCACTAGTTCCTTCACTCACTTATTCCTTCACTTGTCAGTCATACACACTCATTCCTTCACTAGTTCCTTCACTTGTCAGTCATACACACTCATTCCTTCACTAGTTCCTTCACTCACTTATTCCTTCACTTGTCAGTCATACACACTCATTCCTTCACTCACTTATTCCTTCACTTGTCAGTCATACACACTCATTCCTTCACTAGTTCCTTCACTCACTTATTCCTTCACTTGTCAATCATACACACTCATTCCTTCACTAGTTCCTTCACTCTAAGTACTTATTCTTCACTTGTCAATCATACACTCTCCTCATTCCTTCTCAATTCACAAATAATTACTCATGAAGTGATTACAGAAGGCATACCATACACCATTGTAAACAATTGGAGGGTAATACTAGCCTAATACTATTGAAATCAAGGTAGAAAATTCAAATTTCTTCACTCCCTAATGACATGTACAAATTTTGCACTAGTTTTGTTTGTTTGTTGTTTAACACAGCACTTAGCAATATTCGGTGGTCTGTAAATAATCAAGTCTGGTCCACACAATCCAGTGATTGATATCATGAGCATCGATCCACGCAATTGAGATATGATGATATGCATCAACCAAGTCAACGAGCCTGACCACCCGATCCCGTTAGTCGCCTCTTATGACAAGCTGGTCGCCTTTTACGGCAAGCATGGGTTGCTGAAGACCTATTATACCCTGGGTCCAGGACACTTGTAAAAACAAGCATTACTCTTAACTCTCAGTCTTAGTCATAAAGCATGTTCTACATCCACAGTCAATCGAATAAAAAATTATTCTCTGACTTCAAACCATCTGCAATGGCCATGGGATTCCATCCTTATTGGCAATTCCAGAATGATATCGTAATATTTATTCTGACTTGTTTCCTATTAATTATGTAGCACTGTTTACCGGAAGCAACACAAGCATACAGTGGCACAATCATATGAATAGTCCTATAGGACCTGTACATCGATTACCACGTCAGCCAAACAGCTGATGCTGATGGGGACGAGGATATTCATGTACATTTCTTATTCAAATATGAAAAAAACCCACAGGTTTGCAATGTTTGCATGTATCACTAGCAAATGTCCAACGAATCATCCCTCAATTGTTTTGACACTGGGATGTAATATGCTTTGAGTGGCACATGGTATGAGCATGTTTTCGGTGTCATAAAAGACTTGTTTATGAGGGAAGATGAAGTCCTACAAATTATTAAAGTACACCGGTAATGGGTTTTGTATTTATTGTATAAAGCTTAAATAACCCATGTGTTGATCCAATATTGTGGAAAACTTGCATGCAAAACTTAGCAACAACATTGAGGAAATTCAATTTACTTAATCTTGAATATGATTAATGCTGAGTTTTTGTTAAACTTAAAGGTGTTCGTGAATTCGCTGTGTTTGGGGCCTAGCCCTGAGACCCGTTCCACAAAGCAATCATATAGCTACGACTGTCATAAGTTAATGTGATAAAGTAAATGAATGAGTTTTGATTGTCTTAGCGCTAAGATCACTTGTGGAACAGGGCCCCGTTCCTCAAAGCGATCTTAGCGCTACAATGATCGTAAGCCTATGTTAAAGGATGGGACTTACGATCACCTTAGCGCTAAGATCACTTTGTGGAACGGGGCCCAGGTCTATGGTGATTACCATTACTCATCATGACACACATAGAACTTTGTCGATCAATACTGTGTCTGATAACACACCCAATTCAGGACACGTTCTACATAATAACTACATGAACAATTGCTCAATATGCTTTCAATCAGGTTGGATTTTGATTGGGATTGTGTCTATCAAACATCTGTGATATAACAGGTCAGCTGGGGAGAGGTCTCATGATGGTCTGCCTTGAGAATAAAGTGTAAAATGGGTGGATTTCAACAGGTGCCAGAAATATTTCAGCTTTTAAATTATATCTGAAAGATCGCAAAAGAGCAGTTCAAATCTCTGACAAATAGATGTACATCAAACTCCTGTCATGTCAATTACAAAACTAAAACCATATATTTTCAATGCATAATATTTACATTATATAGATAAAATAACTGGTGAGGTGAGGTGAGGTGAAATTGGGTTTAAGGTCGTGTCCAAGATTATTGCACTTATAGAGCGACATGCATGCACGTGTGTGTGTGTGTGTGTGGCTGCTTGTACTAGACCGGACTGATGCCGATTTATAGTGCTAGCCCACCGAGATACCATGCCGCAGTTTAACATGAATACCCCACTCAGACACAGTATACTGACTCCGAGCCGACCAGTCCTTGCTTTAACCTCTTAATGCCGAGCACCAGACAGGGTAACAACAAGTACCATCTTTTAACATCTTTTGGTATGACGCGGCCGGGGATCGAACCGCGGACCTTCCGCTCTCCGGGCGGACGCTCTACCACTAGACCACGGAGGCGGTAGATGAAATAACTGACAATCACTGTGATTAAGCATAAACGCCCATGTAAAAGACAGGCATGTGTCCTTGTAAATTCCTTACTGAGCTAAGTCCCACATTTAATCCTAAAAGCAAGTGACCTCATCACTAAACACTAAATTTAAACATATTGCCCTCATGAATTTAAACCTTGAATGCCTATCGTCATATTATCCATATGAAAAAATGAACAAATGGATATATGAGATTAATATGAAACAGATAATCTGAAAACAGAACATAATGATGTCATGATGAACAAAACAGGAAGTTGTCATTGTTGCTATGGATACTAACCTGCTCCCTCAAATCCGATTGGTGCAGGCTGCTCCATGTCTACCACCACTCCGTTGTTATACTCTGCTTGGGGTGGCGGTGGCGGTGGCACCGGACTTACTCCTGAAACAGACACAGCATCATCAACACTAGACTTGCACAGGTCTCTACAGAAATTATTATCAGTTTAAATGAGTGAGTGAGTGAGTGAGTGAGTGAGTGAGTGAGTTTGGTTTTACGCCGCTTTTAGCAATATTCCAGCAATATCACGGCAGGGGACACCAGAAATGGGCTTCACACATTGTACCCATGTCGGGAATCGAACCTGGGTCTTTGGCGTGACGAGCGAACGCTTTAACCACAAGGCTACCCGACCGCTCCTTAGTTTAAATCATTATTCCTATATTATATAAACAATAAGAACAAGTCGTCCCTATAAAAACTATATAGAATTACTATACATCCATGAACCTATCATTCAGTACAGTCTTAAAGCAAGTCTACATCAACCAGTGTTAGAAATTGGCACTAGTCCTGTAATCCTTCCCAAACTGCCCAGTAGTTAAGGTATCCTAGGGACAAGTAGAAATTTGACATTTTTAAGGTTTTTGCTATATGTTATCATTATAAGGACTAGTGGACTAAAACTGTTAGTTTCTCCCTCTGCATCAACACTTTTCTTATATACTTAACTTGTCATCTGTAACTAGAGCTATGTCTCTGATAACTCCTAGCTGGTTTGCATCAACAAGGCTTATATTAAGCTGGAGCTGGATTTAATATGGCTTTGAGGATGTTGAGCTGTATGTCATTAATGTCTGCCTAATTTGCGAGCAAAGGTCACAGATCATACATGTTTACCACTTTAGTTCAACAATGAGCAAGGGCACTGTGCTCAAAAACCAAGGATCACAATCAGCAAGAATTTGGGCTTGGGACCATCATACATGATCCTGACAGGGCTAAGGGACTAACTCTGTACTGTGAATTGTAGCACCTTGGCTCACTGGCCCTTTGTGCTTCTACGGAAATTATGATCTGATTATTAAAAAATGTTCACAGCTCTCATTATCATTTTTTTATGAAACTCTGTATTTTGATATTTTTGCAAAATGTATAACATGAAACCATTTTATTCCAATGGGATTCAATCCACCCCTCAACTGTCATAACTGCAATACTTCAACATAGACATAAGTCAACAGTAGCGCTAACATCCCTACAGGAACAATTTATTTAAGTTTTATTGAAATATATCACCATATTGTCAGTGAATGAAAATTCCATGGAAGGAAATCAAGACCAACATTTGTTTTGTCCTAACAATTTAGATTTACAGTTACAAACATTTTTTCGTGAGTTTGAGTGCTTGTAGCTAGGGGTTCAAGTGGGGTAGACCCCATGAGGTAAATCACATTAATCCAAATAGCTCACTTTGAACGATAAGTGTTGTCGTTAAAAAAAATATACAGATTAGGAGAAACAGCTTATCCTTCCAGTAGACTCAGGTGGGGCATGGGTTGTTCTGCAAGTAGTTGTGCAGAGTAGCCCCAGTACCCACAATCATGGGTTCGAAGGACACAATCGCCAAGATATTGTCTCAAGGTTTGGGTTTCACCAAAGTGGTAATTGTCAGAGTTGTTGGTTGGTTTGTTGTTTAACGCCGCACTAAGCAATATTCCAGCTATATGACGGCGGTCTGTAAATAATCGTGTCTGGACCAGACAATCCAGTAATCCACACAATTGGGATCGATGACATGCATCAACAAAGTCGCCTTTTACGGCAAGCATGGGTTTCTGAAGACCTATTCTACCCCGGATCTTCACGGGTCGGCAATTGTCAGAGACCTGCAACACTTTGAGTTTTCTGAGGCTGACAAGCTAACTGAAATTCTGTTCAGAGTGTGTAAAACCCAAGTCACTCATGCAAAACTCGGGAATGGCAGACAAACAGCTCGTCTATCCCTGATGTTATTACTTCAGCGAAATCAATAATATTTGATTTTAACATGAATGAACCTCTAACTGATAAACCTAGTGAACTGACACTATGTACAGCCAGCTGGCTCGTAGTAACAAAAACAGCACAGCGTGGCCATTCAGTCATATTATTTCCTCCTTTTAACTCAACATTCACCATGATCCAACAGTGTGACAGTCATACGTACTTATGTACTGTGTCACCCATAAAGCTTGTGACCTTAAATGGTAATTCTTGCATGATAAAGCTTTCTACAGCCCTGTCATAATTTTAACTATTGAAACAGTTTATCAGCATAGACAAATATACCAAATGTTGCATCAGAGTGATCAGGATGTTATTTTTCCATGAATCTCTTTGGCAAATTGTTGGTTGGAGTGTGTTGGTCATGTGACAGTAGTGAGCAGAGTGAGTGAGTGAGTGAGTGAGTGAGTGGGTGGGTGGGTGGGTGGGTGAGTGAGTGAGTGAGTGAGTGAGTGAGTGAGTGAGTGAGTGAGTGAGTGAGTGAGTGAGTGAGTGAGTGAGTGAGTGAGTGAGAGTGAGTTGGGTTTAATGTCGCTTTGAACATGATTTCAGTTTTATCACGGAGTGTCAGCTTGATGTGGGAGGAAACTCCAAAGGGATACAGACAATAAAGAGTATGATGATTAATGAGTGAGTGAGTATGGTTTTACGCCACTTTAAGAAATATTCCAGGAATATCACGGCGGGGGACAGCAGAAATGGGCTTCACACATGTTTATTTGTCAGGAATCGAACCCGGGTCTTCAGCGTGACAAGCAAACGCTTTAACGACTGGGCTACCCAACCGCCCCAAGAGTATGATGACATGACACAACAACTGAATACAAGGACATTGTTCCACACTAACAGCAATCTTTGCACCAAGGTGATCAACTCTCATACTTTAACTTAGTCTCACAATAGTCGTAGTGCTAAGGTTTCTTTGTCGAACACAGTCCATGACATCATGCAGGAATAAATACAGTGTTCAAAACAAAGGGTGGTCCTCAAGACTGCCAAACATGATGATGCATGATTTCAGAAATATTGAATTTCATTCACATTTTGAATTGTGTAATCTTACATAACTCTTCAATATCTGATTATAGTTGTGTATGTCTAGGAATTTTCTGATCACTTAACGCTGATGATCCTGATAATTAAACTCAATTTGAAACCCAAACAAGAGCCTGTCATGTCACAGGAACAGTTAATAAGCTCAATCATGTCCATGCTTAGTTACAGTAAATATTGTCTTGAGTGTAGTGTGCACCTAAGCATTATGCACATACCCATTCTTGGGTACAAGTTTCAGGTAACATACAAAAAATCAACACGTATTGTATGCACATATTATTTGCACACCCTCTACACAGCTGTATATTTTGGAGAAAGAATGTGTGCAGTACTCCGTGCCTCAATTTTTGTTTTATTTTACAAATCGGACATTTGGTTACATATAGGTTTCATGGTAGCCACTGGTAACATCAGGAAGTCAAGCCAATATTGTAGGTTACGAAGCCAAGAACACTAAATTTATCTTTTAAAGCTTTTTTATCAAATTCCTGTTATAATGTGTACAAGTCACAGGATTAGCATTGGCCAAGTATACCTTGTTAGCAATTATTTGTTTAAATTTCTTTTCACAGAATCCAATTTTTATTTACTTTTGAATGTCACTGCCATGAGCAGTTTCCTTGCATCTTAATTTGTGTCAGAATCACATCAACCATGAGAATTATTAGTTCCAAAGTTCCTATAATGGTACAAACGTTGTTTGCTTTAGAGAAGAAGGAAAGTACTTTGCCATGATGTTGTCAAGTAAAACGAAAAAGTCTATGTATGTCACACGTTCTGAACTCGATGCACTGCACTGTCAAATTACATAGTGTAACCCAATCCTCGCAGTGCTGCAAGGAGATATCAAAATATTCAATGACACAGACGATCGGAGTGGTCATACAAGTTCCATTGCAACTGAAAAACTGGCGATCGAGATAATAGCGTAACAAATGTCAATCAATTGTTTGATAGGCATTACTTAGAAGTTGACGGATGACAAGGTAGACACAATTTTAGGGATAACAACCTCTTTAATACTATAAAAAGCGACATTTTGGTATAGATCCTTATAACGTTGTCAAGCAAGACTTGTCAATGAAGTTATTTATTTCATTGTCAACCAATAAGAAGTAATCAAATTCAGTCACCACAAGATATATTTTAAGGTAGTCATTTGGCGACCTCTGAATATTTATAATAAATTTAGGTTGCACTGGCGACCGTTGTAGTTTCAACTGTGAGGCCTGATTATACACAAGACAATGGTATATGATAGGCTAAATCTGACTATGTCATAGAGCAAATACTTACTATTGACACTCATTGTAGAGCATTTTCACACATCCAGGTTACAGTAGCTCCCCGTCACTTCAATGTTTACACGTTGTTATACAAGTCAACACGACTTGAAACACATCAGAACAAGTCTCGCATCATGCTCTTGATAATATAAAGACTGGTCCCCATGACGTACAAAATAAACTTCACATTTATCAACCGGTTAACTTACCAACTTGTCAGTTTACCCATGTCGCTATCATTTCTATACTTAGAAAAGTAATATAGTGAGAGTACGGGTCAGTTCCCACAGCTGTGATATGTTTATGACCTTTTTGTTTATACTGCGATTTAAGCTAAACGTTATTGAGTGTACTCTCAATGTTTTGGTTGCCATGAATGTACATTAAATGAAAAGCTGTTATGGTAAGATATAGTTGGGATATTTATACATAATGTTTTCATGAATAGATTAAAGACGGTTTCTTCACGAATAGTAAAACAATTTTCTGTCTTGATGAAAAACTTATCAAGACTCAGTGCTTGGTTGATTTAAATGGAAGCACTGATCTCAGTGGACGCATAAACCTTATAAATTAGACATTTCTGACATGTTTGAAATAACATCAATAATAACAGATATAGTCACTGCCAATTATTTTTCACATATTAGCTCCATTTTTGTGAACTATGTATCCATCAGAACAATGTAACCATCCACACTGTTCAACACATCCTTGAAATATATCTGATCAGTATGTATCTCCTGGGTGTATGAAATACACACTTGTATTGCT